CCCCTAGTCCATCACGCGTGGGGAAACCTGACAGCTGTATGGTCAACTATGCCGGATGTATAGTATGACCGCTAGCACTAGGGCGTTGGCGTTTACCGAAAGCCCGTCGGTATCTCCACTGCAGCTTCACGCGTTCGTCGGGGTTCCGAGATCATCACGGGTATAACGGACATAACGTTAAGCACCACTGTCGACACCCCTGATAACGTCTTAAGAGATATTGATTACGACAAGTGTGCTATCGATGAAGCATTATGATTCATTATGACTCCTATAAGTATGATACTGACACTCGATAAGGGCATGGACGAGAACCGGAGGACGTTTCGACAGCAAGATACGTCAACCTTACCTTGCTGACATTTCATTCTTCCTGCTTAACAAGAGGGCCAGGCTGTACAGGTTGCGTCCTCGCTTATTCTGCATATCACCTCAGCCGCCATGTTTTAAAAGCGATCGCTGACGCATTAGCGGCCATTTGTCAGCGAAATGTGGCTTGCAGTTGCCCACGAAAACAACCGTCAACTTACAAATATCGGAGACTTTTTCTTCCATGGCTTCGGACCAAAGTCGTGTAAATGTCTGCGATTGTATCATGCCACGTACATGTACTGTGTGTTTTGGGAAGGGCGTTTGGTTTGTTTCTGCAACGGTGTTGAGGTTGGTAGAGGAAACACAGCAAAGCCTTGTAGCAACTTATGTTTGCATTTTCCACAACCCCCCTTTTTTTTTGTGCAATCAGCAAGCGCCAGCGATTAAGGGCGTTGTCTGACTGCTTTTGTAGGCGTACTAATGGCGGCCAGCCTCGCTTGCAGAACGGTCAGAATTGTAGGTGGAGGTAGCACACTGGGCTCACATGCTTTTTGAGACACTGATACTCACTTCGTGCACACCCACTATTCGCTGCATATCCTCAATTCGTCCGGCACTCCACTCGCTGCAAGATGTGTGGTTGCTTTTCCCATGTCGCTTTATGTCCGCTTACTCCGTTGCCTCCGCTGACTCCACTGTGACTCTTGATTTCAAGCACTATCAGAAAAGTATCCGACAAATCAACCGGCGTCAGAAGACAGGGCTAAGAGATAGACAACTACATTTGCCTAAGATCAGCCCTTTGCCAAGAGCTCAAATGCCGGAATGTAAGATATGCCCCATCGGAGGTTGTCGCCTAACTGGGTGTCATGGGAGAAATCCACGACACACATGAAATCTACTTCGTTTTTGCTACGCTTGGCCGGTCCGGAAACTTCTGTGCGTCTCTGGTCCCTAGCCGTGTTTTCGTGTCACGCAAGAATCTGACGCCCTCGCGTGGCTGAACCTGCAGACGATGAAGTAAAGATAGAAACTACATTGAGGTATAAAGGTTCAAGAGGGGAACTTGGTTTGATACCACAACGCTTTCCAAATTCCCATAAAACAGACGCGCCTTCCCTGAGAAATACGCATTACCCCTTTTGAGAGGCAGAACTACACCGTTTCACTCAGCCCTGTCAACCTTCATCAAAGATCTTTCTGTTGGCGCTCAACGCGTCCTGCATACTCGGGGCAACATACCACCGCAGCCATGTCGTCCTACTTGTTCCAGCACTCTAGTGTGGGAACATTATTGCACTATGTCAAACACCGCAAGTTCGACTACACCCGCAAGCCCCCCAAACCATTATCTCCATCTTCGTCAACAGACGACCTCCCCTTTCCAAAGGAAGAAGTACCCACAGAGGGCCCTGTCGGCGCAGAGCTCAAGCAACATCAAACCACCCTTGTAGACTGGAGTGGCCCCGACGACCCCAGCAACCCCCAGAACTGGCCTCGGAGTCACAAAATCTTAGTGACAGTCATACTCTGCGTCTACACTTTCGCCGTCTATGTCGGATCTTCGATATACACCTCCTCGCAGCAAGATGTGATGGAAATATTTGACGTCAGCCATGTCGCAGCCTCACTAGGTATCGCACTTTACGTGCTCGGCTACGGTATTGGGTGTCTGCTATTCTCCCCACTGTCCGAGGTTCCAGCCATTGGCAGGAACCCCCCATATGCGATTTCAGGGTTCTTGTTTGTTATCTTGTGTATACCCACTTCCCTAGTGGACAACTTCGCCGGCTTGATGGTCCTGCGATTTCTCCTGGGTTTCATGGCATCGCCCTGCCTCGCCACTGCGGGTGCATCACTCGCGGATGTCTGGACAATGGCCGAATTCCCATTCGCCGTCGCCCTCTGGGCTATGGTCGCCACATTGGGTCCCTCCCTGGGCCCAACACTGTCTTCCTACGCCGTCAAGGACTTGGGGTGGCGCTTCTCGAGCTGGGAGTTGCTCATCATCTCAGGACCAGTATATCTCGTGTTGCTTCTCATTCTGCCAGAAAGCTCCGGGCCCACTATTCTCTACTACAAGGCTAAGCGTATGCGCGAGGAGACAGGAAACCAGGAGCTTATGTCCGACTCGGAACGTAAGCAGAAGAACATGAAAGTCAGCAGTTTGCTGTTTGATGCTCTCGTTAAGCCCTGGGAGATCAACGTTCTGGATCCGGCCATCTTGTTCACGACGGTATACATGGGATTGTGTTATGGTATCTACTACTCATTCTTTGAGGTAAGCACCTCACGAGGTCTCGTCGCTAAGCGCACTCACTAACATGTTCCAGTCTCTTCCTTTGGTCTACGTCCCCATGTATAACTTCAACGCCGAGACAACCGGCCTCATCTTCCTTTCGATTCTTCCAGGCTGTGGACTCGCATTCACTATCCACGTCTTGTACCTCAAGTACCGGGTCTTCCCCCGTTTGATGAGCGGTACATTTGGCGAGCTTGAAAACCACCTGTGGCCCGGTTTGATTGCTAGCCCTATCATCGCAATCGGACTATTCATGTTTGCATGGGCATCCCGACCATCTGTTCACTGGATCGTACCTACGATTGGCCTTGGTCTGACCGTCTTCGGAATCTACTTCATCGCTCAGAGTGTCTTGCTCTACATCCCGAACATCTACCCGCGTTACGCAGCCAGTATCTTCAGCGCGAACAGTCTGAGCCGAAGTGCATTTGCATTTGCTGCCATTCTCTTTGCGCGTCCAATGTTCGAGGGCATTGGGATCGATGGAGGTGTAAGCTTGTTGGCAGGGTGTATGGTACTCTGCTCTGTTGGCATCTTTCTCTTGTTCAAGTTCGGTAAGAAGCTACGAGAGCGCAGCCGATTCGCCGTCGCATAGGCTTAGCAATAACATGATTTATGAATTCTTATACGACAAGGAGAAACAATGGGGAGGAAGTTGCTAGCAAAAGATGCTAGACGGATTTAATACGTAGATGTGATAGTCGAATCTCCCTTCAAAAAATCTACTTCCATAATCGAGCAAGTCGAGTTCCATTTGCAAAACGTAGACCAAGATGTAAACTGATTCTTATCATAGCCATGGTGGCGACTTCTCAAAGAATACTACAACCATGGTAAGCTTTATACGACCGAAGATCAGGGTTTGAACATGGATAGGACGATCGAAGCTTATCGCTCGTGATCGGCCCGGACGAGGATCGACGAACAGCGCCAGGGGATGCCGAACTGTGGGTTCAAGCGCACGGGCACGTGGCTCGCATCGTGTCGATGTACTATGTAGTACTGCCGGTATCCAGAGCGCTTTTCGAGTCAGGCAACGATCAGCAATTATGTCTACACGACTTGGGTACGTCGTCCCAGTTACGCGCCTGACACAACTACCAGGCATTGTGAAAAGCCCATGGCTACTCAGGCCACCAACATTCCGCCCCCCCATTGCAGGGATACTTTGCATGCAGATGAGTCGTGCTCTCCTGCACAGTCGATGGCTCGAAATAGATGTCGCAGGGTCCGCAGCATCACCTGGTGAGTGCGATTGATTGTCCACAGCTTCGTACTGATCGTGTTTACCAACACGGTAAGTAGATTGTCTTTTTATGAGACGTCGGCAAGAACTCGTGATGTATAGTCAGGCCCGCTGCACTAACCCTATCCTGCCGGTGAAGGAGAAGGCAATCAAAAGCGCCAGTCGTCCGATATCCACTCGATGCAACCAACAGCACGTCGTGACTAGACGGGCCTCGGCCAGGCGCATGTGTTCCGGCCGTTGGGTGTGAAGAAAGCCAAGGCGGCAATGAAAGAATCTGTTCCCAAGGGCTGTACGGCAGTGTCAGGGCCAGACCTGCCTTTCCGCAAGAGGAATGGTCTGGCGCCGGGTGCCCCTGACTTGTCATCGCTTGTGCTGTAGCCGACGGCTCCCAGATGACATCCAACATCAAACCACTCGGACTCCTTCCTGCATTCGGATAAATCCACCCACTCCAAATATGCCGCCATGAGGCATAGCCCTTAGGCAGCCACCGCGGCCCCGTTCTTTTTCCCTCCGCGACGCACATCCATCAGGCTTCTGCAGCGTGCCTGCTTGACTCTCCAATTCGGCATGACGATGAGGGCACAGTACTCGTCGTCATGTCGTCAAGAAAACCCACTGTTGAATACGGCATCACGCCTTTCCAGTGCCTGGGCTAAGTACCAACGCCGCTCCCGGAACTCTGGACCGACCATCCTGTCGTGGCGTCTTCTCTCTCCTCCCTATGTTGGCACTCAAAGGACCATACTGCTTTAGCCGAGATTGAAGATTCCCATGGCCGGAAGCGGCTTGTCCACCGGTCGCCAGTCTAAAGTAAGACATCATGTTCCAGCGCTTCTAAAAGCAACCCATTTTCAAACTTAGCGCTCGCCTAGATGCACAGCTTCTTGGACGCCGTACCTGACTTCAGACTCGAAGCAGTTAGGTCCAAGGCCTCCCCACCAATGGAAGCGCAAATCGACAGCCGTCTTTCTGTTCCTGCAGCTTCATGAGATTTGCCGTCACATCCTGCACAATGGCATGGTTGCCTGCTGCTAAACGGCACTGGTCAGTGAGTAGTCACTCATGCAGGTACCACGCCACGAGGCCTTGAGGCCAAGAGTAGATATAGTGTAATCTCCCATTCCTACTTTTCTCATCGTGAGTCGCTCTGCTTTCCAGTTCGCCCTCAAGTCGCTCTCTTTCGAGTCTCGATCCTACTTGCAGCATTTTTGCTTGCGTCCTTTCTTTGAGTTCGCTCATCACAATCCTTACTGGCCTTTGGCCGTCCTATCATTTCCATCACGTGTCGTTGTTTATACTGTTAATACTGTAATCATGGTCACCTCAATCTTCTCACGCGTTGCTTTTGCAACTGGACTTCTGGCCTCTACTGCTTCGGCCGCTTACGATGCCTCCGCCAAGTCAAACGTCGCTGTTTACTGGGGACAGGGAAGCAACCAAATGTCGTTGCTCGAAGTCTGCCTGGATCCCAACGTAGACATTGTCAACATTGGCTGTAAGTAGTCATGGATGAGATAGATATAGCGAGTCCTCAGCTTGACTGAGGACCTGCCAATGTCTGATCGAACTGGTCTACCTGCCAAAGGAACACTGCTAATACAATCACCCCAACAGTCATCAACAAGTTCCCTACAAAGCGAGGCGAATACCCTGGATCAAACCACGCCAATGCTTGTGGTGACGCAACTTACCTCGACCCGACTACCAACAAGCCCAGCAAGCTACTCAGCTCATGCCCTGGCGTTGGTGATGCCATCAATGCTTGCAAGAGAAGGGGCAAGAAGGTCATGCTCTCGCTCGGTGGTGGCTGGCCAACAGACTACTACCTCCCAACACCAGATGTTGCAAACTGGTTTGCCGAGTTTTTGCTTGGAGCTTATGGACCCCCTACTGCAGAGTGGAAAGCTGCCGGCAAGCCCCGCCCCTTCGGCGATGCCTATGTTGATGGTTTCGATCTCGATCTCGAAGCTGCAGAGTGGGATGTACCGTCCAAAGACATGCTCTATGCAAACTACGATGTCTTCGGCAAGTACATCAAGGCACACTCCAGCATGCTTCTCTCTGGTGCTCCTCAATGTGTTGTCCCCGACGCTAGGATATTCCTTGCTCTCAAGGAGGTTCCCTTTGACTTCCTGTTCACCCAGTTCTACAACACCTGGACCTGCTCTGCTGCCAAGGCTGTACAAGACATGAAGAACAACGCAGAAAGCACCTTCACCTTCAACACCTGGATTTCTTGGCTCAAGGCAAACTCCAAGAACCCAGACATTAAGCTCTACCTTGGTTTGGCTGCGGGTGAAGATGGCCTTCCTACACACAAGGACCACTACCTTGCCCCAGAGGATGCCAACATGCTTGTTCAATCGCTCCAGGGCGATAGCATGTTTGGTGGTGTTATGCTATGGGAGGCTACTGTATCTAAGAACAACCCAACTTATGACCAGTCCTACGGTACCTGGATGAAGTACGCTGTTGAGGGTACTTTCGAAGACAAGTTCCACCCGGTTGTATCTTCTAGCTCTATGGTCTCTTCGACAATCACACCTTCCAGCACGCCTGTCTCCAGTACTCCCGCATCCAGCACGCCCGCTTCGAGCACTCCCGCCTCCAGCATCCCCGCATCCAGCATTCCTGCTTCCAGCGTTCCTGCGTCAAGCACCCCAGCTTCAAGCACTCCGATTTCTAGCGTCCCGACTACTACCTATCCTGCCTCTAGTGTTCCCGCTTCCAGCACTCCCATCTCTAGCGTGTCGGCTTCTAGCATTCCTGCACCTAGCACCCCCGGTTCCAGCAGCGTTACCATGGTCAGCTCCAGCTCTATTGAAATTCCCAGCAGCACCCCTGTTGAGCCTTCTTCTATTGCTACCATCTCGCCCTCTGCTTCCAGCAGCAGCAGCGCCTCTGTTGGGCCATCATCTGTCCCCACCGTCTCAGCAACCGAGAGCACCAGCAGCTCTGTCGTTGTTCCTTCGGGTAGTGAGACCTCAACTTCCTGCAGCACTTCAAGCGGCGCCTATCCCACTGGTGTCAACTCCAGCTATGGCGTCTATCCTACTGAGTCAGCAGTATACCCAACTGAGACATACTCTGCCAGCAAGGGTGCCGAGTACCCCGCTGAGAGCTCCAAGGGCCATGGAGAGTACCCAGCTGCGTCCAGCACTGGTTACGACAGCACACCTTCCGTCACCAAGAAGCCTGAGCAATCCGAGTACCCAACTGTTCCCACTGGCTCTACCACCAGTATCGTTACCAGTAAGTTCAATGTGTTATTCAATCTCACGAAACTATACTAATTTCTTAAAGCCACCTATGTCGATGTTTGCCCCACCGGTCTTACCACGGTCACCACGACGTACGTTGCGACTGTCTGCACCAAGTGCGCGAAGCCCACTGGCACGACCGATGTTCCTGAGGGATGGACCACGAGTGTATACACTGCCAGCACCTTGACTGTGACAATCACCAAGCCCATTGCCACCGTTACTGCTGTGCCTGAGTACCCATCCTCTGCTCCTTCAGTTGTGTACCCTGCGGAGTACCCTGCTGCGCCAATTTCTTCTGGCAAGCCTGCATACCCAGCCGTACCCGAGGCTTCCAAGGCTGCGTACCCTACCGTCCCTGAAGTCTCCAAGGTCGCTGAGTACCCTGCCATTCCTGAAGTATCCAAGGCCGCTGAGTACCCTGTGGCTTCTGCACCTTCCGCGGCTCCTGAGTACCCAGCTCACTCTATGCCTTCTGTGCCCTCCGCTGTCCAGCCCGCCTCTTCGCCTGCTGTCGAGTACCCCTCTTATCCTATTGGCACCGGCTACCCCAAGAAGCCCGTGGAGCACGAGGCTGTTAGCAGCATGCACATGACCCTCAGCAAGGTCGCTGTTCCTACTTACACTCCTGCGCCTTACCCATCGGCTGGTGTTCCTTACATCCCCGCCGGCCCTGCTAAGAACGCTACTAGCGTATATGTTCCCATGCCCACTGGTACCGGCAAGCCCGTCACGCCTCTCCCATCTATGCCACCTCAGTTTGAGGGCGCTGCCAGCCGCGCCAGTGTCGGCTTCATGATGTTTGTTGGTGCTGTTGGTGCTGTTCTTGCCATGTAAATTCTTTGGATAAGAGTTATTCGTGCATGGTGGTGAAGTGTATTGTAGTCGCTTTGATTCTCATGTAAATAAATCCTCATATCCATGTTCTACCGAACAAATAACGTTTTCGCGCGATTATTTGCAATACTCATAATGCTCAGTCATTGTCATGTCGTGATGTCTCGTGTCATAATGCTCTTTGGCGTAAACGCGTTAGTTCCAAGGTGGGGAACAACACGAAGCATACCAAATGTGGTAAGATGTGTTCATCACCACATCTCAGGTTGGCATCTGGGTCCTGGGTCCTGAACAAGGGTTGCGATCTCACTGCGTTTGTCTCTATATATGTCGGCGGTGATTGGTCGTGGAAGGGGAACGGCAGGCCGCGGGGGAGAGCTTGGAGCACAAACGTGGTGGAGACAGCCTAGTCACCTTTCGTCATTCGTTCGCGACCTCCAGCGACGACTTGTACGCGCTGCCCGCAACCACGCCCCAAACTTTACTGCCAGGGCGCCGAGATGCTCACACACAAGCCGTCGAATTTACGAATTGTTCCGCCTGACTGACATTCCGCGATTCACTCTACTTTCGTCTAGGTGTTTCTAGAAGCCTCGCCTAGTCTTCCCTCTGTCTCCGCTACTTTCTGGGGTTACCTTTCACACAACACCTGCTGCTACTGGCAAGCACCAACACCGCCCAAAATGAAGTACACAATCTACGACCGGCTTCTCAAGCGAGAGGTTGGTCAAGAGCGCAGCAAATATTCAGACATCCGATCGATATATGGCGACCGGAAATGGATCGATAATCTCGATATCGTAAACGAGCTTGAAGGTCACAGCGGATGTGTCAACGCCCTCAGGTGAGAAACCACTTCACAAATATTCAAGGGAAGTATCTAATATCACTAGCTGGTCGAAATCTGGCCGTCTCCTCGCTACCGGCTCCGACGACCACCGCATCAACATTCATGCATATCACCCCGAATCGTCGACCGACCAGTTCAACCTCACCACGTCTATTGAGACGGGCCATCGCTCCAACATCTTCTCCGTAAAGTTCATGCCTTACTCGGGCGACCGCACCATCGTTAGCGCAACAGACGACGTGAGGATATTTGACATTGAGCATTCAGGTCACTCGGCCTTCCGAACTGCGTCTAGAGCAGGCGGTGCGCGAAACTTGGGCACAGCACGGAGCAGAGTGACACTGACCGAGACTGATACAAATGCAAAGGCATTCCGCTGCCACACCGACACTGTGAAGAGGATTGTCACAGAGGATAACCCGTTCTATTTCATGACCTGCTCCAATGATGGAGATGTACGGCAATGGGATATAAGGCAACCAGCCAGGGCATACCCACCACCACGAGACAGCATGCTTCCGGCGTGGGCAAGGGACGACGACGCATCTGATGACATTCCACCGCCACTCATCTCGTACAGTCGATATGGACTAGATCTTAACACGGTCTCTTGTTCTCCTAGCCAGCCGCACTATATTGCACTTGGCGGGGCACACCTTCATTGCTTCTTGCATGATCGACGCATGCTTGGCCGTGACATCAACCGTGAACGCGGTTCCAGACTTTCCACTCCAGCAAGTTGGAATGAAAATGATGAGGAGCTTCTAGGAAAAGCGACACAGTGTGTTAAGAAGTTCGCGCCCAATGGAAAGCAACGCATGAGCAGAAGCGACAGCGGTCACATCACCTCATGCAAGATAAGTGACGCCCATCCAAACGAGCTCATCGTAAGCTGGTCTCAAGACCACATTTATAGCTTCGACATTTTGAGAAGTCCGGATGCAAGAGAGAATGTGACACCAATAAAAGCTTCAGGTAGTACGTCCGGTCGTCGGGTCAAGGACACCGCCAAAAAACGCAAGCGACCAAAGTCGAGTGCATCTTCTCAAGAGGCCGCTGAACGTGCAGGATCTAGGCCACGGAATGATAGTACGGAAGACGATCTTGCACTACGCGTCACCTATGGCAATGGACAGAGCGAAGACATTCGCATCCAAACGCCTGCCGAGAGTCGTCTAACTCAGGAGCAACTGAACGAATTGCGATCAACCGACCACTACCGTATTGCAAGTACAACTGTCAAGATAGCAAAGCGCATATTCGATCTTGGCGAACACGGAGAGACTGGGCTGCAATTGGCCTTCACCTCCATCCTGGGCTTGGCAAACTCAATAATAGCGGATATGGATGATATAGATCGGACATGGACTTATCCAATCGACCCAGATCCTGTCGATGTGGCGGTACAAAACAAGCTCCGTGACAGCAGAGCAGCTTCGCGCCGGTTTGTGCAAGCAGCTGGAACGTTGGCACGAGTTTTGGGTGGACAGCTGTTGACTGGGTCTAGCTCAGATGCCTTGATTGCACAGTACTTTGCATCGATCCAACCGGCGCCACGGGAGAGAGAGCTGCCCCGGCATCAGCATTTCGGATATGACTTCTTAAAGGCCATACTGTTGTGGCTTGACAGTGGTCCGGGTGCTGTAGTAGAGGGATTCTCGGGACGAAGCAGTAGTGCTCGTTTGCCTCTCTCGCATGGGGCAGACATGGACGCCATACAGGAACAACTGATTCCCTACCTGATGAACCTTGCAGGTGATGACAGCATTGTCAATCCCGATGCCTCCAAATTTGAGACGGATGCCACTCGAATTCTGTTTTCTTCTGAGATTGAAGCAGTCAATGCCTTTAGCCAGGCTCTGCAAATACCTTTTGCAGATCTGACTGGAACAAATGGATCTGCAATGGAAGCGGATTCAACGGATGAACCTACTCAAACGCGAAGTGCAGCAAAAAGGAGATGGGCATATCAGGTTGGAAGGGGAGTGTTGCTCAATGCTTCGAAGGACATCAACTTCGCTTTCGTAGATCGCGCCTATGGCGGTCGTGGCATCTCGGACAAACAAATCAGAGCCGAGGAGAGAGCGCTGAGAGCACGACAGGCAGATATCGATCCTCTGATTGACGAGGGCCCTGTCCGTGACGCAGAGTTGATTGGAACATCGAGCCAAGAGGCAGAAAACGAGGATGACGGTTCCCCAAGCTCTGCTACCCCAACAGGATCGAGATCCACCGTCGTTCAGAATTCTGGGGAAAACGAAGAAGACGAAGAAGAACAAAATGACGACGATGATGATGACGACGATGAAAATGATTGGTATGAGGACTCTGAAGATGGATTAGACGAGGATTCTGAGAATTCCGAGGACGAGGATGAAGAGGGACTACGGCGGACAAGAAGTGGACATATGTTATGGCGTACCGACTTTGGTCGCAGTCGCTATAAACGATGGAAGGTTGAACGCGACGTGCCATGTGCACCTCACACCCGTGTTTACACGGGACATTGTAATGTCAAAACGGTAAAAGACGTCAACTACTTTGGTCTTCAAGATGAGTATGTTGTCAGCGGGAGCGACTCGGGTCACGTTTTCATTTGGGATCGAAAGACAGCACAACTTCTGAACATCCTAGAAGGGGATGGAGAGGTTGTGAATGTTATTCAGGGTACGTTTGTCAATCTGCACATAACCATATGCCCAGCTAACAGGACTCAGGCCATCCCTATGAACCACTCATGGCTGTATCGGGTATTGATCACACGGTAAAGATATTCTCACCAGATGCTCATCTCCAACACAACGCTCGAAAAGGCGTTGGCGTGCATTCGGCAGACCCCTCTTCCTTCTCTAGCATCCGTTGGGGTCGCCGTGGCCGTAACGTCACCACTGAATCCGCAGCTGAAACCGAGACTGAGCCTGCAACCGCAGCACTCAGTGATAGCGATGATGAAGTTATGCCTGGAGGACTTGCTAGTCGGCGCAGGATGCACCTAAGTTATCAAATCACAAGCCAGAATGACATGGATCGCAAGGGTGAAAGAGACGATTATTTCATCAGCCAGGCGGTATTTGCGCAACTGGCTAGACACCTGGCTAGAGGTCAGGTCGGCGGTGTTGGGAATGGTGGCGGTGAGGAAGGAGAAGAAGGCAATGAGGCAATTGTCATCACTGAGGACAACTGCAATATCATGTAAACGGAACAATAGTGGTAAAGCCAAAAAGAAGGGAAATGCTTGCAGTTCGGCGCATAGGCCGTGACATCTCCACAAAAAACCTGCACCATGATTAGGCCATTTCGGAAAATCAATGACTAAAAGTCAATATTGTACTATCATCTCTCAATTCCAGTAACGGCCCTGCAGTGTTGCGCTGAGACCCCTTTCACGGGTGATGGGTTTCACCCCATTCCTCCAAAGACAAGTCCATATCCAAGGCTATATCTGGTTTATGATGCCTTCTTTTGCTGGGCCTTGAGTGCCTTCTTGCGATTGCTCTTGATCATTACTACTGAGACGAAACTGCCAACGACAGTGGTACCGAGAATAAGGAGGATGACGGGGATGCGGATAGCCCAGACACGAGGGAGGAAGAGAGAGTGCAGGATGTGGTCGTCATCAACAAAGGGCTGTAAATGTTCAGTACATATGTTGCGGCAAGAAAATCTTCAAGTTGTGGCCGTACCATGAACAGTGTCCAGACGGTGTAGTAGACGAAGACGGCAGTCGCTGCGACGAGCATGCTGAGACCCACGAGGCGATCGGCCTGTTTGCAGTTAATCTACATTATTCTTGATTGTGTATATCTGGTCCCATACCATTGCGAAGTTTTGTTGGAATAAGGAACGAGTGAAATTAATTAGGAGTGAGACTGGGTTGCAACCATGTTGCTGTCCCTTTCCTCCCTCTCTCCCGGGAAGACGCGCCAAGCCCAGACCCCTGTCGGCGAAACCGCGGTCCGTCCGCCGCAACTGCATTGCTGGGCCAGCTTCGAGGCTAAACTTTTGCGAGGCGCGTCACTTTACACGCCTCCACTTTGACTTCTCCCATCTTCACCCTTCCTCCCCCACCCCCGCGACCCTCTTACTAAGCGGTCATGGAGGTCGCATCTGCCGTCCGACTGCCTTCGCCTTCGCCTGAGCCCGAGGTCGATACGCAAGATGTTCCGCGCAAACGCGAGCGCTCGCCATACGATGGGCCGAGTGCTGGGCCATCCAAGAGAAGTCGGAGAGATGAGGAGGATGAGCATCGCAGCGGAGAAGCTGGCCGTCGCCCAGCGCCGAAGCCCACTACTGACGACCTTCCCGAGGACGACTCACGACTGAAGCTCTTCCAGAATGCCTTCAGCGCGAACCGGAAGCTGCCGATTGACGACTCCAAGACACGTGCTGGAGGCGCGTACATTCCACCCGCTCGCCTGCGCGAGATGCAAAAGTCGATTACGGATAAGAAGAGTGCAGAGTTCCAGCGCATGGCTTGGGAGGCGCTGAAGAAGTCGATCCAGGGTCTGATCAACAAGACGAACACCGCCAACATCAAGATGATTGTGCCTGAGCTGTTTTCCGAGAACTTGGTGCGCGGACGGGGTCTTTTTTGCAGAGCTATCATGAAGGCGCAGGCTGCCAGTTTGCCCTTTACCCCGATTTACGCAACCATGGTGGCTATTGTGAACACCAAACTACCCCAGGTCGGCGATTTGCTAGTTCGTCGTTTGATCGTACAGTTCAGGAAGGGATTTAGGAGGAACGACAAGGCCGTCGCCCTGTCAAGTACTATGTTCCTTTCCCACCTCGTCAACACCCAGGTCGTCCATGAAATCCTCATCGCGGAAATCCTTCTGCTCCTGCTCAACAAGCCTTCCGACGATTCTGTTGAGATTGCCGTCGGCATCATGAAGGAAGTCGGCGCTTTTCTCGACGAGATGAAACCTGCCATTGCCAACGCCATCTTTGACCAGATGCGCAACATCCTCCACGAAGCCGACATTGACAAGCGCACGCAATACATGATCGAGGTACTTTTCGAAGTGCGGCGCACGAAGTACAAGGACAACCCAGTTGTGAGGGAAGAGTTGGACCTTATTGAGGAGGAGGATCAAATTACCCACAACCATACGCTTGAGGGTGATTTGAAGGTTGAGGATGGCTTGAACATTTTCAAGTTCGATCCTGATTACGAAGCCCACGAGGAGGAGTACGCCAAGATCAAGGCAGAAATTCTGGGTGAAGAGGAGGGCAGTGACGATGACGGATACACGGATGCGTCATCCGAAGATGAGGAAGATGAAGAGATCAAGGCTATGGACGTCAAGGATCAAACCAATGCGGATCTTGTCAACTTGCGCCGAACAATCTACCTGACTATCAAGAGCAGTGGTGGATTCGAAGAGTGTGTACACAAGCTCATGCGAATCAACTTGCCACAGGGTCTGGAGAACGAGCTTACTACTATGATTGTAGAGTGCGCTAGCCAGGAGAGAACCTACGAGAAGTTCTACGGTATGATCGGAGAGCGGTTCTGCAAGCTGAACCGGATGTGGACAGACCTGTTCGAGGAAGCGTTTGCGCACTACTACGAGACCATTCACCGTTTTGAGACGAACCGCTTGCGCATCATCGCCCAGTTCTTCGCCCATTTGCTAGCATCCGACGGTATCGGCTGGCACGTCTTCCAAGTAGTGAAGATGACGGAAGAGGACACGACTTCTAGTTCTCGTATCTTTGTCAAGATTCTTTTCGAGGAGCTTCTTGCCTCGCTTGGTCAGAAGGCGGTAGTTGAGCGCTTCAAGGACCCCATGCTCCAGGACAGCCTCACCGGCATCTTCCCTATGGATGCGGACGACCAGAGCAAGACACGCTTCTCCATCAACTTCTTCACTGCTATCGGTATGGGTGTGCTTACTGAGGGTATGCGTGACTGGCTCAAGAACAGTGCGCCCAAGCCAAAGCCACTTCCCGAGCCAGAGAGCGATTCAGAGGACGATCGCAGCGTTTCATCGCGGTCAAGCTACACCTCGAGCAGCTATTCCCGATCGCGAAGCCCTGTCCGCAGAAGGCGAGATTCGAGATCTAGCTCGCGAGGCAGGTCTTATACACGCAGTCCGACGCCCGACCGCAAGCGTGGCGGTCGTGGCCGGAGCGCTAGCTATGATTCTGCATCCCGCTCACGCTCACGCTCCCCAACGCCCCGTAAGCTCAAGAACAAGCGCTCTTATTCATCTTCCCTTTCCCGCTCCCGCTCCCGCTCTCGTTCTGCGCCACCTCGCCGTCGAGGCCGCAGCCCCTCATACTCCGCTTCCCGCTCTCCACCACCAAAATCCAAATCTACACGGCGTGACCGTAGCCCTTCAGGCTCACCGTCTCGCTCTCCACCTCCGCGCCGTCGAAGATACTCCTCGTCTCCTTCGCGGTCGCCATCCCCAGCACCAAGACGCAGACGCGACTCAAGCAGCCCTCCGCCATCAAAGGGCAAGAGCAAAGCGAGAGATGATAGTGCCAGCCCGCCACCGAGACGCAGGAGAGATTCCAGCACTCCACCTCCCAGACACAGGCGTGCATCGACTAGTCCGCCCCCCTCGAAGGGTAAGGGAAGAGCGAGGGATGATAGCGCTAGTCCACCGCCGAGGCGCAGGAGGGATTATAGTACTCCACTGAGAAGGAGGAGAGACTCGTAGTGCGATTTATGGATGTAGAGGACGAAAACAGTTTGATATGGGATGCATGTGTTGAGCATTGAATCGAAACGACGGGGTTTGGGCGATATAGTAGTATTTGTATATTATTACAGCATTTGTGGCGAAATTGAGCGAAAAGAATAGTCCTTGCAAAACAACAAGTTTCTTCTGAATGAATACCAAAAAGTAATACAGCCCGCACGACATTCTTTGTATACCACCCTTGTCCAAAGTTGCCAGTGGCTTTTGATACAACAATGTTATTATTCAACGATCTTCATACACATCGTATAAGAAACGTGCCTGGTAAACCTCACTTATACAGACCTCTCTCAGCACCATACCCTAAAAGCCAACCAAACCAAACCCTATTCAGTCTCACCCCCTCACTCACCACAATAGTGCAACCAGTGCAAACTAAACGGAGGAAGGCACCACCACTCACACCAACTGTTTTTTTGTCTTGCGTCACATTCCCAAAGCGTAACCCGCACCTTCTTCTCCTTTCACTCGAGACCCACAAACAAACAAACCGCCGCTGACCTGCTTCCCAATCAGCAAACGCCGATATAACCGCTATCGAATCCGGCGGGTGGTTGCTTTCTCTCTCTTCATTCAACTCGACATTCGACTCGAACTTGAACAAAACACGCACACATACACACACACCTTGAACACTACCTTTACTTTACTTCAACTACACATTTTTGAGCGTTACGAGAGAGAAAGAGAAAAAAACGTTACGCTACAGCACGTACCTGAAGTACACTACGAACCTACGTAGCAACCTACGTTCATATCACGGAACCTACGAAAGAAAAAAGAAAAAAAGAAAAGAAAAAAAGAAGCGAGTATGGCGGAACTCGAGGCGAATCTCACAGCGTACGATTTGGATGTCGCTCTCGAGCGTGATGCCGAGGGCGAGGGATGCTTCGTGCTTGATGTTGGGGTAGATGATGCTGGCAAGTCGGTTGAGTCTGTGAAGTGGGTGGAGGGGGTTGTGCAGGAGTATCTTGTTCGTGGTGAGGAGCTGGGTGCGTCGGTTACGAAGATGTATGTTGTTGGGGAGTGGAATAGCGCTGTGTATGGTGAGGAAGACGAGGGGGATGGAGAGCGCGAGGTAAGTGTTTTTTGTTTTATTTTCTCTGTTAAGGGGATTGTTGGGGTAAGAGAGTGGTGCTGATGCTACAGGAGTGTCATGGGAAGAGCAAGTATGAGCGGGAGTGGGAGGAGGCGGGAGCAGAGATTGCGGAGATGGTTGAGAAGATGCCTGGTTTGAAGGAATTGACGTGGGTTTTCTCTTCACTATCTGGAGAGTGATTTGCTGACATGACATAGATGGATCGCTGGCATCCCCTTCATGAGCGTGGTCTGGGAGACGCTCCCCACATCCCTTACAAAGCTCGTTCTCGATCTCGGCCAGCCCGTTCGCATTGAGCAGGATGGCCACATCGAGTACAAGTCGTACATCACGCAGACGGATATGCGGCCTCTTGTCCGGCAGACCGAACTTAAGGAACTCCGGCTGTTCCGTATGCACGACTCGATGCAGTCTGTTGTTTGGGAAACTATATTTAGGAATGTGTCTGAGAGCGGCGTGCGCGTTGTTGACTTGCAGATGGCTGCTGAGCCGCTTGTTCGTGCGACGCACTGGCATAAAGCTGAGGATGTGGTAGGCTTGACAGTCCCGAAGCAGGACTCCAATGAGAAGGAGTACAAGTAAGTTGGAATTCTCTAGCCCTGAGTAAGATGATTTTGTCTGACCAAAGGCTTTGGCAAATTTTAGGGGCATTGAAGGAAAGGGTGTTTTGCACCACTCGTTCGGCATGGGTGAATATCTTGATGCTTTCTGCATGCGCAAAGCACGTATCGCTGCAGGTTTAGAGGAAGCTAAGCCACTTCCACTCTGGTAAGTGGGCTTGGTCTCAAAGAAAACATATAAGCCATCACTAAAATTGCTGCATAGGTGCCTCAAGCTTGACGGCTTTGTTGTCGATTACCTTCCTTTCGAGCATGAGCTTTCCCGCATCGCCCTGCTGACCTGCGGTAAAGACTGCATTGATAGTGGCCTACAAGCTCCCAAAACCCCACTTAGTCCACATAATAGGTGGAGCAAGATGGTCAACAACGCCACTTCCCACTGTTTAATTCAGTGGCCCAACTGGACTGGAGTCTTTGATGATCATGGCGATCAGCGCGACAACCATGGCGAGATTGCCTCCGAGGAGACTGGCCTCTCGACCCCAGCCAATGGACAGCTGTCGCCTTCTCCGATGCCATTGACAAAGACGGCACTCCAGATGAAGGACTTGGGAGATGCTATCGACCGTATTATCGAGAAAGGGGAAGACCCTCCTGCCGTTTCGAAATCACTTTCACTGATAGCCGTCGATGCACCGTTGAGCATGGCTTCAGACGTATCAGTCTGTGGCTCTGATGCCCCTACGCCAGCTGCCGGCTCAGTGTCTCCAAACTCTCTCAAGATGCCTACGGTCGACGGCTCGGCCACGTACAGTAATGCTGCTTGGATGGGTGCTAGCCTGACATTGGTTGAGAGCGCCAACACGGTGCAGTCGGGGATATCTACGGACAGCAGCTTCGACAATGTGAGCCCTGTGGATGTTTATGCAGCCAACGGCTTCGACAGCACGGCGCCTAAGGAGAAGACGGTATTCAAGACGGGCGGCTTCAAGCACAAGGTAAGACGATCTTTGGACTGGCTTTCTGGCTCGCGTTCTGATTCTGGCGAAACGGTTTGATTCTGGCGTGGAATTACTTGACTTTTATTTGTTTTGCGGGTGTTTGAATTTCATCTTTACCACGGTGCTGACGCTGGGGAGTGAGGGACATGTGGAGGGTTTGCTGGCAACAGCATGATGTGCCCTTTGATTGTCTCTCGTCTACTTTTTTTTCCAGGAGCAACTACTGATGGATGGATGGACGGACTGAACCGGGACCATGGGGGAACAATGGAGGATTCACGAGACTAGGATGGACATGCAGAGCTTTTCGCAGTACCTGGGTGGCATGGAGATTGTGATTGGGGGGTGGCGCTGTGGCAGTGGAAGGGTTTCTGGCCTGTGTCTATGTCTGTGTGCAATTGCCCAAGACGCATGGAACACACAGTCTTCGAGTCTTGCACAGGGTGTCGCGTGTGCTTGAGGCAGATGATAGGCAACGGGTTAATTGGCGCATCCGACATGGGATTCCTAGTGTTTACAGAATAGCAGGCTTTACCGTATTGGCGCTAGCTATGGTGGACCTGTGCTGCTGGCACGCATGCAGGCTTCAGGAGCCGACATGAAGTGCATGGCTGCAGACGCTGTACCGATGAAAGGGAGCCGTGCGGTGTGAGGCGTAGCCGCCGTTGGAGGGCATACGGGCGCATATGTAGACGGCTAGAGGAGAGGTACAGTACAGCAGTGGGTGTGACGGTTGGTCTGGAGCCAGTGGACGCGGGCCGCTCCTTCCTGCTCGCACGGAGGGCCGCCGATTGGGCAGGCGCGTGTGGGAGGGCGGGGGCAAGCGCGATGAGGTAATTGCGGCGAGGATGCAGACGGGCATTGCTGCGCTGTGTTCTCCTACGTAGGCACATATATACGGAGCTGTGTCTCCAAGTACTTACACTACACACGTGTGTACGTAAGCCGGACGGGGGCGGTGCTGTTCCCTGCTTTGCTGGTGGCGGTCGCTAATCACATCACACCTGGCCATTCCGCTTTCCGTCTTGCGCTGTCTGTACCTTGGCCAAACCGCCCCCATGTCCTCCACGCCCGGCTTAGCACAACAAGCACGATGAGTTGGCAATCCATCGTTGCCGTCACCGTCACCGAGCACCACGGCTGCTGTCAGGGCACCACTCGCCCCGCGTAGCCGTCGAGTCGCCTTGCATGCCTGTTGCGCTGCACGCCGGCCAGCGCGACTCCACTTGGCCCAAGTTCCATTACCCTCGGTCGCATCTGCTACTGCTGCTACTGCTGCTGCTACTGCTGCACACCCGGTGATCCTCTGCGCCCTCGACCAGCCGCCGCTCTCCCCAAAAGGTCCGCCATCGCTCGGCTGCCTGCCTTCGATGCCCACTTGATCCCACCCTGTTGTCTTCCCCAGTCACTCGTTTTATTCGATATCGCTTTCTCCGGGCGCCGCGCCTCCGAGCGCTGCGGCTGAAGGTCCGCCTCCAATCCCGGCGACGTTTGGCTTCGCCCATAACACAAAAACCCTGACATATCGGGGCACCAACTGGCGCGCCTTTGCTTTGCAACGACGCCTCAGCGCATGCGTGTCGAACCGACTCGTACGTTTTGCATCCGCGCGCAATTCGCTGTGCTGTTTTGTCCAAGTGTCGGTGAGAGGTGTAAGTCGACATTCATGATGCTTTCCCAGCCACCTCCCAGCCCTTTCACCTTTTCCCCCCCAACCTCCCGGTCACTCGCGCGTACACTCGCCCCAGGCCGCGTACCAGCAATGGCTCCTCTGTCAGCAATCCCCCCAGTCTCTGTGTCTAATCCCACACTTTGCAGCCAGCCTTCGTGCATTTCCGCTACAAGCAGCCCTTCGTGCGCCGCTTAGCTTGTCCCCCCCCCCTCTCGAGTACCCGCCGCCGCCATTGTTGGCGCATCTAATTCCAACCCGGCGGGTGCCTCCTCGACGGTCCAAGGGTAATTGAGCCCTGCGAGCTGGTCCCTGGCTTCACGGTGACGTCCAGCGGCCCATCACCGCCCGCAAACATATTTCCCTCTCACGACTCATCTTCACGAGACCACGACCGAAACGCGCCAATAGCCTTTCCCGAATATCGTACCTCGCTCCAGCTACGCCAAGAGCAAGCGGAAGCCTTCTATCGCACGCAGCACAATCGCTCAAGAGCCTCAAGCTCCACCGGCAGTGTCGCAAACAGCCTCCGCCGCACGCCAAACTTTGAGCGCGCCAGGTCGGCCGAACCGGGCCAGCAGCAACAGCGTGTTCGGTTCGAAACACCTCGCCCTTACTCTACCGAACCTCATCCTGCCCTTCGAATCAGTCGGCGTACTGCATCAGCAATACGCTTTGTGCTCGAAGAGGCGCTTCGCGTCCCACATCCATTTACCCCGGACCTTGTTGAAGAGAACGCCCAAATGTCAGACTTGACGAGTGGGCGCGCTGCCAATGGCGGGGCCCGTACAACTGGTGGTCCCGTGCCTGTCGATCGCTCCAATATCCGCACCCCTACGCAGATCATGAACGCTAGGCGCCAAAGGGCTGAAGTGGAGGAACAAAGAAAAGCCGCAGAGGAGGAACGCAGGAGAGCCAGCGCGGAAAGAAGAGCTCAAGCTGTTTCTGGTGTAGCTGGAGCACCCACAACAGAAGCCGGAACCCAGAGGCAGCCTCAAGCAGCTCCGAGACCCGGCGATCAGTACGTACAATATCCGGCATCGTCTGGGGGAGTACCGCGTCAGCCCGAACGGCCCCTTCCACCCCAGGGCACGATGAACGACCCACAAGATGCAACAACGGGCGCGTCGCAGTCGAGGCCCAGAGCCGCTACGCAAAGCCAGCAGTCGTCTCGGCCTACTCAGGCGAATCTCGGCGTGCCGACTACTGCAGAGCCAGGCAGGAGACCACCTGGCGCGGGCCATGCTAGGCGCCCTTCTGCTCCTCCAACCTCGTCACAACCAGGACCATCGGCGGCTGCACAGGCGCGCGCACCGCCTGCGCCAGGTTCAGCTACCGGACAAGCCCGCGAATCAACAACGTCGAATTTTCCACATGCTTTTGAGCGCTGGGAAACCCTCTCTTCGCATTGGGAAGGCCTGACCTCGTACTGGATCCGGCGACTCGAGCAGAATACCGACGAGGTTCGCAGAGAGCCGTTGGCCCAGCAATTGTCGCGGCAAATCACCGATCTCTCAGCTGCTGGTGCGAACCTGTTTCATGCCGTGGTGGAATTACAGCGGCTGCGCGCGTCCTCGGAGCGCAAGTTCCAGAGATGGTTCTTTGAGCACCGCCAGGACCAGGAAAGGGCGCAGGAGCGCGAGGCGCAATTAACAGAGCAGATCAATGCGGAGCGCGAATTGCGTCTTGAGGCTGAGGCAAATCTCGAGCGCATGGCCACTGAGAAGAAGAATGCGGAGCGGGCCGTGTCGGAGATGAAGCGCGAGTTGCAAATCTCCAAGGAGGAAGCTCGTCGGGCGTGGGAAGAGCTTGGCAGACGGGAGCAAGAGGAGCGCGATCGCACATTTTCGCTGAGGGAGGGTCAGCCTACTCTCGTTGGCGGTGTGCAGGTGGTTCCAATGGCGCAGAACATGGGGCGTGGAGGAAGGGGCCATGGTGATGATACCTACGGCGGTGCACAGAGTGGGTCTGGCATTGAGCAACACTATTCCTACGAAGAGGGTCCTCAATCGCCAACCGATACTGATCCCTTTACTGAGGGTGGCCGCCATGGCCAGCGGGAGACTGATATGCCTGCGCCTTTGTCCCAAGGAACTTATATTCCGTCAGGCGCGGCTTCGAATACCTCCTCGCGACCCGGTGGTGCCAGCTCTGTTGGAGATTCAGCGCTATCTCCAGCTCCTCTGCAGTATCCGTACTACACGTCTGAAGCACAGCGAACTCCTACCCAGCCCGCTATGTCACAACCTGAGGCATTTTACCAGCAACCGGCGTCGTATTTGCACCAAGAGTCGGAATCCGGTGTGCCAGAGGATGTACAATCGTATGTTACATCTCAAGCAGAAGAGTCCGAGGCTGATGTCGACTTTGTCCTTGACGAGAGAGGCAACTATGTCCGCGATGATTCGGGTCGCCGTATTCCATTTCGGTCTATCCAGTCGCCTGTCTCTGACGAATACGACGTAGAAGACGCCCGTCGACGTGAGCTTGAGCATCTGCAGCACTACGGCACAGCTGCCACATCTCAGGGAGACTATGCAACGACTTCAAGTGCGTCATCTTCACATGGTCAGGGTTACGCTACCGCTGGAGGTCAGCCGGACTACAGTGGCGATGGTTATGGCGACGAATGGGTGGGTATGAGACATCACCATCCTACGAGGTTGAGCGATGTACCAGAGGAAGATGAGCGAAGTCGGACTTCCCCCAGCCGCGCCAGCCAGGCCAGTCGAGGACGTCTATACTAGATGAACGATGGACCACCTCCTGTCCACAAAGGCAGGCAACCGTTGTTGCTTTACAAGAGAGAGAGAGAGAGAGAGAGAGAGAGATTGCGAGAAACCGATACCTCATGCATGAATTTTTTGGTCCCTTTTTTTCCCCGGTCGATTAGGAGAAACCGTTTGTCTTTTATCCTGGTACGCGCGCACGCATGCACGCACGCTCGTCGCGCATTTTAATCTTATCAGCATGGCATATGTTTTACAAAGCGAAGCATATTTTATTTCCCGCCCTCTCCACAAATCATCAATCATCCTCTCCAGATAGACGTTGTTGATTACACACTCACACCATATCCTGTTTTCTTCTCTCTGTCTGGTCTGGTCTGTCTGCCTGTCTGTCTGAGCGCGCGCTACTTTGCTCGATAATTATATATACCCTTTCTTATATGAAGGATTTCCCCTCTCCCCCCCCCCCTTTCCAACCACCACCACCACCAAGAGAAAAAAAACTTTCTGGTCTAATTGAGCATGTCTATCTATGTATATACCTCTCTCCTCCTACTCTGGAACTTTGGGGTTTTAGGGGTTTTTTGTCGTTAAGATAACCCTGAGTAATGGACATTGAGTTTGCATGTGTATTGCGAAAGTTGAATCAATTCCCTGTATTAGTATTGGCTTTGTCTTTTTTTGGGGGTGTTTTTTGTTGCCGTTTTTTAAGGGTTTGGAGGACTTCTCTCGTGGAGTTTCAGCGAGCATGGTGTTTAGCTAGGCATCTTCTTTTTTTTTATAAATCGACTCGGAATACGGTAATTTGTTGGCCACCTTGGGTTGTTGACGAGGTTGGGATATGGGGTTGAAGGGAGGGAGGTTTTTCATGTTCGGATATAAGTAAAATGGTTGGATAGGGTGTCTAATAATGAATTTTGGTTGATGCACTTTCTGATGGGTTGGTGATGGTGAGGGAGAGGGAACGAGCATAGTGGAGGATGTGGACATAAGGGATGTAACAGGGGAAAGCTAATACATACATATCATGGCCACCCCTCTCTACTATTTCCTTTCAACAAAGCATAATCTTTTTTTTTCTTGTTTCTCGCGTATATCTTCTCGCGTATATTCTACATCGGTTCAGCCATATATGAAACCAAAAAAATGCAACAACAACCACACATTGCACTACACCACCCGCCCAAACCCCTCACAACTTCGCGTTAGCCCTCAAAACCGTACTATCCATCCTCCTCCCCTCGTCATCCTGCTCCTTCACCCTCAAATCGGGAAATTCCTGGGGCATAATCCTCCTCGGCGTCGTCCCCGGCACAAGACTATACCGGTCAAACTGGGTGACACCTCTCTCCCTCAGAAAATCCTCATCCAGCAACAACCTCCCATTGACCTGTTGGACGGGGGCTTTGATAATCTCCCTAAGCGCATCGGAGAAGATATGCGGGGTCCGCAAGTCGCTCGCCTCATCGGCCGGCAGATTGGCGGTGGCGGCACTCTGAATGGCAGTCGCAGGCCACAAACTAGTGACGGCCATGTCGGTTTTGGCTTGACGGGAGAAATCCATAGCAAGGCCGATAGTCAGCACGGACATGGCGACTTTGCCCATGGCATAGGCCGTCTTGCCGCGGAAGAAGCGCGAGTAGATGGGCGGACTGATGATGACGATGCGGCCCTTGGACTCGCCGGTGGGGGGTTGCTGCTGCAAGTGCGGCAGGCAGGCTTGCACGACGCCGTATGCGCCCTCGACGTTGACGCGCTGCATCAGTTGGAAGCGCTTCATGGGCGTTTTGTCAACAGAGGACCACCAGATGGCCCCGCTGTTGTACACAACCACGTCGAGCCGCCCGTACGTGCCTATTGTGCGCGCCACGAGCGATTCAATGCTGGCATAGGACCGCGTGTCGACGGGGACCGGTGTGGCTTCGCCGCCGGCTTCGCGGATCTCGCGGGCGACGGTGGAGATGGTGGAGGCGAGGGAGTTGGGGTCGGGGGGGAAGGGGTGCGTGGCTGAGGCGTCCGAGGTGGATTTTGCGGCTACAATGACTGTGTGGGGGGGTGGTTGTGTGTTAGCTGGTGTTTTCTTCTTCTTCTTCTTCTTCTTCTTCTTCTCTTTTTCATGTTCCCTTTTGGATCTTGGTGGTTCGAGATTTGTCCGGTTTGAAGTTGTATTTCTGCTTTCCCTTACCTGCGTAGCCATCTTTTGCCAGATCGATAGCAATCTGGCGACCAATGCCTCGAGAGGCGCCGACCACGAGTGCGACTTGCTTGGTAGAGACTGGCATGGTTCTTCTTCTTTTGCTTGCCTTAAACACTAATTACTGAGGATGGACCGGATATCAAGCTTGTGCCCTTTGCTTTAACAGCACATGGGCAAGTGACCGTTACATAGAGTCAGTGTATTACCAGATTTATAATCAGAAGTCAATTAAATGCGAGCGGCCTCGGTGTTGAGATTGGACAAATTGTCCAAAGTTCCAATAGTTACGCGTCGTGCACCAATCCGAGGCATCGACATTTACCGTTTGACGCGTGCGGAGTCGTGGAGTAGCAGTGGTGGGCAATGATTACTGATAATAAGCGCTGATGTACCTCGGCAGCCAAGACTGCCAGGGTCACGTCACACCGACGGGCGATGCTCATAACTTTCGTGATGGAATCTACTTCGTTGCGATTAATAGCTGATTCGTCGTTACTAGAAAGCAGAGAAATCCCAAAAATGTCGGGCAAGATTACGTGCTATTCAGACTGCGGTAAGTATGCCTTGCCTTTCTCTGGAACACTGGTTTGTTCAACGTCACATGCTAACTGCGCATCGCGTAGTATCACCATACTCATACTTCGCTCTGCTTCATCTTGAACGGAACAGATCGATTCTCGAAGCACACAATATCGAAATCGAGTGAGTCTATCTTGTGGCACCGTGGCGAAACTACCTTGATTCGACGGCCTTAAACATGACCAACGACTTCATGCCTCCCCCAAAAGTAAGTGCATGGCTGACTAGCTTTTGACAGTATAGTACCCGTCTTCTTAGGCGGCATTAATGTCGGTAGCGGTAAGCATTGCCCATTCCCCGCCGTATCAGCGCCCATAGAGGCTGGTCCATGCCGATAAAATGAGTGCTGACACTGAGACCTAGGCAACAAGCCTCCGTGGACCCTCGAGGCAAAGGCAAAGTATAGCAAGTACGATACCAAGCGAGCGAAAGAGTACTTTGGAGTGCCCGACCTCAGCACCCCACCATTTTTTCCCATCGTGTCCTTGCTACCACAACGGGCGCTGTGCTATGTGAAAGAGGCACATGCCGAGCATTATGTGAGCATCTTCTTCGACCTCTGTGCTGCTATGTGGAAGACCCATAAAGATGTCAGTAAACCAGAGGTCCTTGGAGAAGTGCTTCAGCTGCGGCTGAAGGAAGATCAAGTCCGAGAAGTATTAGCAAATGCAAGCAGCGTGCCATTCAAGCAGCGTCTCAACGACAATACAAAGGAAGCGCTTGATCGAGGCGCGTTTGGCTGTCCATGGTTCTCTGTACGAAACTCGAAAGGGGAGGAAGAACCTTTCTTTGGTAGTGACAGGTGAGTGTCCTCTCGCCCATCTCCTCGTTGTTTCGGCCCCTTACTGCACTTTGTATGCTCCTTCGCGGGGTGATAGGGAAAGCCGAACGGTGACGGGTATATCCGCGTTTAGCAAGGCTCCCGCCCCGGACAAGGGCTGTTGTAGTGTGCAACCAGAAAAGCGTGGGTTATGAAACATGGTAGACGATCAGTAGAGAGCTGCCAGGTATGCTAACAGATGTGCTGTCTAGGTTCGCTTACATGTGGGAGTTTCTCGGGTTGCCGTGGAAGGACGTTGAACTGCTGCCGCCTGGTGATCAGAAAGCAAAGATCTGATGTAGAGTATTCTGCAAAGCCTGTGGATTGGCCGGCGCATGGGTGGAATCACGATAGGGCGCTGGTGCTTGAGGCGCGAAGCCGCATGGCGGGCTGTGATAGCTGTGAATCCAGGCAATTCTGCGACATTAGTTCAAATGTCTTTCATCTCAGACTTGCTCCTTCTTATTCAGGGTTGCATCTTTGTCCCTCTTTCTCTGTTCAGGCATTCTCCTTAACTCGCCTCTGTGTATACATCTTCTCTCTGGATCCTATACCCTCGCACTGCCTATGCATGCTGCACTGTCGCTGTTGTGCACCACTTGCGCTGTGAAGTGGATCGTGTGGCCACCGGAGGCGGGTACGAACTTCCCCAGAAATATGCAATAATATGCAAGATAAAGTCTCCGCGACCTGTCAAGGTGGCGCCGCACGCCACCCGAGACGGCATGCTGGGCATGCTAGGGCCATGTCTCACACGTTCTGTACAACACCCGTCGCGTTGGCCACTGTTGGCCGTGAGACTGCAGCTTGCCGTGGTATAGCGGTACTAGGGGAGGTGAGAGTGCAGAACGGTATACATATATGTATGTGTTAACCTGGCAGTAATGGTCTAGTCATGGTGGGGCGTCGAAGTACAGAGGGGCATCGTCGGCATCGGGTTAGGTATTCATAGATACGCATTTAGGCTTTACGGTCCCCGGCCAACCAGAAATCCAAGCATGAGGCTGTAATGGACAAGAGTAGCGATGCTGCCGCGGGGGATGATGTGCCGATCCAAAGGTGATTGCAAGTCTCGTGTGTAACATGTTAGCATATTTGACATGTCTGGTACGCACAAGGCTACCGCCCACCCGGCGTACACCATGATATCAGAAGTCATACGTACCTACATCTCCAGATGCCATGGCCTCTGGTCTGCTCTTCCACTGGTATACCTGGCGGAACTGCTTGCTGCCAAGCCAGGTCATGCAGTCAACCGTTCGCTTCTGCGCATCAGCCAAACAAGACGACGTAGAACATTTCCCGCCAGCTCAGTTAGGCCTAGACGAACGAATCCTTGATCGATCCGACGTTTGAGCCATCGAAATCGTAGGTCTTCCAGCCGTCTGCTGGGGAGGGCTGAGTCCATATCTCTGCAAAATTGCCAGTATTTGCCTGTCCGCAGCTAGCCACGTTGGAGATGTCAGTGGACCAGGACAACAGTGCCACTTTCTGAGCAACGTCAGGATTGCTTGCAGTTTCTGCCTCTGTGTGCTGAACAAGGCAATACAGCTCACTTCACAGCCTGACTGCTGCACATTTCCGCCACGTTATTGCGTAGCCTTCATGGCTCTGTGACTACAGGCTATGGCGGGTCTACCCGACAGCCTAGACCCTTGTCTTTCCGCCCACCACAGTATAATGGGACATGGGCATCAGACCTGGGTGCTGAGTGCTTCAAACGCGAGTCTCATAGCTCCAAGCGCAGCAGCTCAGAACTGTCTTACAATATAAACGTGTTGACCATCACTCCAACCAACCCCCCATGCCTGCACTCTCATGTAATTGGACTTGTTTCATTGCTTGGCTTCGGCTTCGTCTCTGCGCTCTGTCTTGCTAGTGCACGATTCAGCTGTCATTTTACTCTTGTTTCTTTTCTTCTTCGCTGTCCAGGAGACTCGTCCCACGAGTCACAGTGCGCCAGAAGATACCCTAGAGTGTTTGTATCTGCTCATGGGACCACTGCCACGGCATTTGTCCATCTTTCGGTTGTTCTGACATCTTGTGGCAGTTCGTGGTTAGGCAAACTTCATTCACACATCTTCCCTCCAGTTAGCGAGCTAATGATGTGTATCGACTAGGTGCCTTGCGCTGTCCTCCTCTTGTACCATATAGGTACCAGAGCCAGCCTTTCTGCACTTGATGCCGACCATTCACACCAAAAGGCCCACGCGTTGCATTACCATTGCTGTCTTTGGCACGGCTTGGCAGGTCTTCACACTATTCAAAGTCCCGCAATTTTACCGCCTGTAGGACGCTCGACCGCATTGAGCGAATGAAGCGGCGTCACGCAGTGAATGCTGAACATACCTGTGGACCTCGACGCATCCACGCCACCCCGCAATTCCAGCAACGCACGCTTCACAGGCACCGAACATCGCAGTCTTTTTTTTCGCCTGACTAGATATTCACTGCGATTTCGGCACGCGTTGTAACTGTATCCGCCCTGGTCATCGCCATAAGAGGCGCTTGTCGCACGCGCAACCATGACGACCGCTCCAGCACTTGCCCAGCGCTACAACATAGACGAACATTTTCTGTTCCGTCAATCCTGCTCTTTGTCGCAGCCCTGTTTGTCCTGCATCGACCAAGTCTCAACAGCCCTGCCTCATTTTAGCAGCGGCCATCAGGATCTCGCCATGACACAGTCAATGCTGGTAAGTGACTATCGCATTGGAGCGCCCTCATGGTTGACGACGATGCAGGCAGATCAGTATCGATCCGACAGCTACATGCAGTGTCAGCCCTGGCCATTGCAGCCGGCGTCAGCGGACGATGTCAAACCATCAAGCACCGCGCCCGTAGGCTCGAGCCCCGGCATGGCATACTCATCGGATCGCAGCTGGAGTGGCGCAGCCGGTGTCTCAACCTCTTTTGACTGTCACCAGGTCATCCAACAGGTTGAGCCATACATCTTACGTCAATCAGACTCCCAGTTTGGCCAGAACAGCGACCTGATGTACAATCATCTTGCCGCCCAGGATGCCATCCCCAAAGGTTGTGGGTATGCCGTGCCGGCGACAAGGGCGCTGGCTCATTTGGACGGGCTGCCACAAGGAGCAAACCCCATCTTGCCTACTGGAGCCATGCGTACATCCATATCGCCGAAGAGTTCCACTAGCGACGAGTTCGACAACTCTTACAGCCCAGAGTCGATCCCGGATCAAGCCTCACCAAGTTGCAACTGGGGTACAATTCCGATGTATTCTCCAAATACAGTCGTGCCGTCACTCAAACCCGAAACTTACTATGCTGATGCCGGACTCAGTGGCATGCCGCAAATGAATGGTAGTTTAGGCTTGTCCCTTGCTCCTTCCACAGGTCATACTGGACGAGGACAGACTATCCAGATTCCCCGAAAGAGCCTGGTATCTGCGCCTGAGCATTGTTACTCGCATGCCATCAATCAGGACACGTCTCCGTGGTGTAATCCGAAGTATTTCTCGTCCACAGACAATATCTGGGGTACGCAGTCCCACTCACCTCTAGGGACTGAGTCGCACGCTGCACTCACCCAGGATCGCATCCAGCCTAGATTCCAAGTCCCTCGTAGGGCTGGTACACAAGCCCAACGCGAGCGCAACGACCGAATGCTCGTCGAGGGTAAGAAGAGGGGTGAGACATACAAAGAGATCAAAAAGAAGTTGGTCGGGGAGAATCCCGCAGAGTCCACTCTGAGGGGACGTTATCGCTCCTTGACCAAGGACCGGAGGGACCGTGTGCGCAAGCCTGTGTGGAAAACGTTTGATGTAAGAAAGTCCCAACCACCTATTCAAAGCTTTACTAACGCTTCTCTAGACCGAGTTATTGAACGAGACCGTTCGGCAGGAGTTGAAGCGCATCGAAAGCAATCTGCAGAACCCGTCCGCGTTGAGCATGGAGCAGAAGCTCATGAAAGTTTCTTGGAAGAAGGTCGCCGACTATATTGAAGAAAATGGCGGATCATACCACTTTGGTAATTCAACTTGCAAGAGGAAGTGGCTGGAGTTGAATTCGACCTGCGAGTAATCGCTGGCAGATCCGAAACGATTGAGGCCGTGTCGAACACGGCACACGTCTGTGATAAACTTGATGGGTGCCGGATTATTTTTAGATTTCTAGGGTTCTTTTTTTGGCTTTGCAACCTGAGGCTTCTTGAAGCCCCTTTGCCTTTGCTAGGCAGTAAGCACGATGATGCGAGGCACTGGGCTGTTGCAAGCCCAGCGATAACCCCTTGGCGTGTCTCCCATCTTGTCTTGTCAGGAGTTTTTGCTTTGCGGTTTGTACCACCATGTATTGTCATTTTGTCGGGTTTTATTTTTTTTAAAAGCCTTCGCCCCTTATCATCCTGCGGGTGCAAGGCAGCCCCAACTGCATAGATGGGAAAGCTGCAAAGCGAGGCGACTGGAGGTTGCCACACAGGAAGTTTTATTGAGCAGGATTCTGTATACTATACCCTTTTACAATGCAATAAGTGCTAGAAGACATTTGTAAGTCAGCTTTTCATGGGCATTTGTAACGATGGTAGTAGCGGTTCGTCGGCCAGTAGTAGGTTGATGATGATGGAAGAACCTAGGGCTGAAGTGTGACGTTGACATTCGCGCTACGTATGTACCTTCCTAGTACCGCTAACTCCGAACCCAAAGCTTAAACCATCCCCACCTTCCACATCTGCATTGTTCCACCCTGCCTCATGAGAATGTCACTCGAACTAGCAGAAGCTCTTCCGAGCATTGTGAAGCGCAAATTTGAAGCTGCAAAAGCCTCATCAGACCTGATATTCTCGCCAACAGACGTGGCACTCATCCGCACGTCAAACGGCATTCCCGCAAGTCATGTACAAGCCATTGCGCCAAACATAGAGCTCATGAAGACTTAGTTTCAATTGCGCTATTGCCCATCACTCGCAAAGAAGCCTCTACCGAAACTTGCTGGTGCCACGCCCAAGCAAAAGATTGACCCCTTCGAAAACCCGCCAGAAGCACTACACCTCATTGACATTCCGACCACGAACCCGACGCATTTCCTCGTACTCAACAAGTTCCCGATAATATCTCAGCATTTTATTCTCGCCACAAAGATAAACAAGAAGCAAACACACGTGTTGGAGCAAGATGATCTGGAAGCGACATACGCTTGCTTAAAGGCATGGCACGGGGAGGGAGACGGATCACAAAGGCGCCTTCTCGCCTTCTTCAACTCGGGAGAGCATAGCGGCGCGTCCCAGCCACACCGACACCTTCAGTTCCTACCGGTAGAACGTATGCGCGACCCCGAAAAGACCAATGGCTGGAACATGCTCATAGACCTAATCCTATCGCGCCAGGAAGCCAATCCACCAGGTAAGTCCTTACAAACACCATCCCCTTTCGAAACAGCTAAGACGCAACTGCAGACACCCCATCCGGGCTATTACAAAACCCTCGGCTCCCCTTCACACACTTTGCCCAGGCCTTCGATTCGGAGCCCTCAGGCTCCCAGCTACTTGACATGTATAACCGGCTCTACAAAGAAGCAAAAGCGTCGATCGAGGCGTTCGTCTCGTCATACCCAGATCAGCTAGCGCTGCATCCTATCGAAAACGGCGATTTACCAATTAGCTACAATCTTGCCATGACCACAGCTGGTATGGTCATCCTGCCCCGCCGTGCAGAAGGTACCATGCTCCACGGCGACGACGGCAGTGAGATTGGTTTCGTCGCACTCAATGGCACGACATTAGCTGGTACCATGATGGTCAAGAACCAAGGCGAGTGGGATATGCTGAGAAGTCAGCCTGGACTGCTCGACTCTATTCTCGCTGGCATCGGCATTCCCAAAGCCGCCGCTACGGCTAAGTTCGGTGCTTCAAATATATGACGAATAGGTTTCTCATGGTTGGTTGTGCGAAATACCCAGTAGCAATTTAGAAAGCGAGAAAAAAAATTAGATGAGTATGACGGTGGGTTGCTTCTCATAGTGCATATTATTTCTTTTCCTCCAACATGAAACAAAAACAAGATGGGTCACTGAATTCTTATAACCAGATCAAGACCCATATTTGATTAGGAAAAAAATCAAAAATTTCCATCTTTTTGATATTGGGTACCGCATTTCTGGAAAACGAAACGCAAGCTAGCTTTGAACAGTACATGAAAAAAAGGGTTATCACAAAATAATCAGGCTATGATGCCCCCAAGCAGAAAACAAGCTGTTCCTCGCGCCCGCTACCATGCAGAATGATGCCTTCCCAGAACTTACAGTTGATTGACGCCGTAACCCTCGACCATCTCCTGTGATTCTTGGGCCGACACAACCAATAGGACTCCCAAGGTGCCTAAGCCCTGCTTGCAAGCATGCGATCCACAAACTGGGTATAAAAGTTACGCCATTCCTTCTCCTTCTTTGGGCCTTCAAATGAGCCTGCGAGCGTGCGTAGATACTGATCTTGAACATCCTCGCCAATACCCATGCCGCTCAGGTCGCCCTTGAGACGCTCCGCATATGATTCACCAACCTTCTTGATGATCTCGTGCTGGAGATTCGCCGTCTCATACAGCACTTGTCGCGCTTGTGCATCTTTAGCGTTGAAACCTGGAGATGCTGGGATGGACCATGCCAACGGCGCAAACTTCTCTACCACGTAGTTGTCGAAACCTGGCAATGGTGCTTGTGTGGTATCTGGCGAAGTAGGTGTGGCATTTGCGCCAGGTCCGACCTTGTCGGGTCCGCCCCAGACAGAGACCATGCGAATGAGTACAAAGATTGCAAGGCGCGCAGTTTGGTAGTCTTGTGTGTCCCGTGCGAATGTCTCAATGGAAGAAATGATGGGCTCGAAAGTCCCTTGGTTTGCTTGGGAACGTCAGCGATGAAATAACAACTTTTCCATGTCCCCCAACCTACCATTACTAACGAGCACAGACCCGAGGCCATTATTGAGAATGACAACAATGAAGTTCAGATATTCTCGACGAAGTTCAGCGAGCTGGATCTCGTCGTCTGTGCCCGAAGGGACCACGGCTAAGGCGGTGAAGATGCGCTGCAAGACTGGACTCATGACACTATCCAGGATGCCGGCGATTTCTGATTTGAATGTGAAAATGACTTGACCAAGAACCTTGAGGAATGTGCTAATCTCATCCATTGATGAACTGAGTGACAACAAGCCTTCAATCCATGATGGTAGCTGCTGTAGTAATCGCGAGCCCAGAACAGCAATCATACGTGAGAAGGCAAAGCGCGCGGCATGACGAATAGAGCTAGACGAGTTCAGCGATTCGACAGCGACGAGGATAGCCTCGGACGCTTTGACAAACTCATCTGCAACCTCACTGTGTGGGAGAGCGCTGTTGTTGTTCGATGGAACCCAGTCCGAATAACCGCGTGCCAGCGTTCCCAAAGCCATGATGATATGATGAATTTGTAGTATAGCCCGCTCATCGCCGTTCCTTGCTTGGGGAAGGGTCTTTTGCATATCCTCGAATAATGGGCCCATGATGGTTTGTGCGTATAACTTCTTGTTTTCTACTGAAACAGTACTTGACGAGGCGATGCATCCAACAGCTTCAAAAAGGTACAGCTGTGAATTGAACAGCGCATCCGCAGATTGGTCTTCTTCGTCAGACGACATTTCATCTTCTGAGTTGTCGGGCAGCTCGGCTTTGATTGTGAGCAAGTCTCCGACTGCTTGGATGATATCGTAGGAAACATTGCCCAGTTGTGCTCGTAGATGCTTGACTAGACGTTGAAAAAGATACCAGGATCTTGAGCGAACTTTGAGGTGTTCACTGTGGGTAAGACTGACAAAGTTTTCAAGAACTTTGGGGATGAGTCCAGGGTTCTGCTCGAAGAACTGGTAGTAGCGAACGCAAATCTCCATGTACTGTAATTGAACAGCAGGGTGTGGATAGTTTGCAAGGCCAGACTCTACCATGCTGTTCATCATAACAACAAGCTGTTGAGCGGCCGCAGAAGAAGGTTCGCGCTTTGCATAAAGTCCCGAATTCCGCATGGCGAGTTCTCCAAACAGAAACATCTCGTGTAGGGCCAATTCAAGGTCGCGCCAATTCAATGACTGGTCCCCTTGTGACAAACGTCCAAATGTTCCGTTCACTAGGCGGCTGAGCGTTTCGATATAGTATGCCTCGTCGATGGCAGTCACCGTCTGTTGTAGAACATGAAGACGCCGTCGGAGATCGAGGAATTCTGCTTCGTCGGTCTGCTCGCCCTCTTCACCCCAAGATGCTGTTTCATCATACTTCATCTTCGCAATGATCGCGTCCAAGACTGGCGGTAAAACAGCGGCGTACTGTGGGGGTACAGACCCTGTCTTCTTTTGCAGTTTTCGTAGGAAGGTAAGGAGATCTGTGAGGGATGGAATGACAGTGGAACATACTTCGTCGTACTGGTCGGCGAAGAAACGTAGGAGATACGGCGTGAAGATTCGAATGAGGTCGTCTGCGCGCTGCCGAATGTGATTTTCGACTGTTTCATTTTCTAGAATCTTGACAATGTCAAAAACAATGTTGTTAACAAGCTTGGCGACCGTCTCTGCAAGGTCGTTGTCGTAATTTGGACTGTGGAACTCAGCCAGAGCTGGACTATTGATGAGTTGACCAACAACTTCAGCGAGATTCAGGAAAGTAATCAGCTCAATCTTGTCTGATGGACTCATTTTCTTGCCAACAATTTCTGAAAAGGTATCGATGGCGGCATCGCGCACTTTTCCAGCAGCACTCTCAGGGTCAGCGATACCTTGCTGACCAGCCATCTCCAGGAAAGTGGTGATCATAGTTTGGTTCACGACCAAGTTTATATCGATCCAGCTAACCCAACGTCCGATAGCCCTCAAGCACATCTCCACGAGCCCAAGATCCGTCTCTCGCCACTTGTCGAGGATCTCTTGCCAGGAAGCCGCAATTTTTTGTACGTCCCGCTGTCGAATGAGATCCTTCAGTTCTGTGTTCCGCTTCTTTTCGTATTCCGAACGTGTGACCAATTGATCCGCAATCTCATCGTGGACCTGGCCAAGCATACGAAGGTATAGGAACGTTGTAGCTGTATTGACGCTACCAATCGCAGCCTGGTCACCGGCCAGGGCGCGGAAATCGTCGAAGAAAGATTGCCATGAAGACGGGTATAAGGCGACGAAAAGGTATGTGATAGTCTGCATCAGCTTGTTCTGAATGTGACTTGTATCCGCAGCCCCACTTCCAGGCACATAGGACTGACGGATATGATTCATGAGGGTGTCTTTGATGTATGTGGTGCTTTGCTCATCTAGGCGATGCTCCTGGATTGCATTGTTGACAAGATCGAGCGAGGTATGACGGACGAAATCGGTGGCGCGAGGGTTGCGCGTGAAGAGCGAAAGGGCTGCCTGCCATGCGGAGCCTTCTGAGCGTAGCTGTTCCAGGTACCCTATAGCTTGGCCGCGCACCTCCTGGCTGGATGTCGGGTTGGCGGCGATCTGGATGGCATTCTCGACCTTGAAGATGACCATATCAGCATGCCTGCAAGGTATTTGGTCGAGTAAGGTAATCGGGCACACATACCTGTTCCTCCATTGCCTCCACTTGCTCGATGCCAGACGGGTAGGTTTTAGGTGACAAGTCAGGAGCGGATATGGACTAGATTATGTAGTGCGCATCGGAGTTGGTGAAAGAGGAATTCAAGCGACTGGACGGCTATTGGGTCATTGAGTAGGGCGTGAAGCCTGCATCGTGGAAGCGTTACAGCGGTGAAGGCAGAGAGGCGGGGCACGAGGGGCTGACGTACGGCGTGTGCAAGGGCTAATTTGTAGTGAAAAACGTATTTCGAGCTTCGCCTCGAATCCACAAGAGAGCAGTATTGGTATGAGAAAATTAAGAGTAAACCAGATTCTTTGTTGAGGCGTGGTGAGCGAAAAGAGCTATGCAATGACTGGAGTGGGAGTGCCAAGCCTGCTTTTCATGGTGGGATGTCCTCAGCCCAATTTCACCGAATGACACGTGCGCACAAAACTAGTCGCCGACGTTGCTTTCCCAACATCACTGTCAGATCGCGTGGCCTCTTACAGGACTATACGTGGCTAGGGCTATCACGCAATTTGAAATATCAATTCAAGGCTAAAACAGTCTGCAAGCGGGCTTCTGCATTTGTATTATAAAAAGTCTTTATTGTGAATGTTTAGTGGAGGAACTTTAGCTTCCTGCGAATCGAGTGTCTGCTTATGCTCAATAGTGGGCCTCGCTAGATCGTAGCAAGCACACGCATCCAACTCATCCTAACCCCAAACTGATGTTATTACCGGTCTATAGCTTTTCTCTAAAGCCTGCGCCGCTTCTACGATCGTGAGCAGTCTGCGGTAGCACCAATAATCACTGACTTACCACGCTCCCAAGTGCTTTGCCGCCCAAGCAACATGCTCATCAGCAAATGATGCCATAAAATAGTAGCTGTGGTCATAGTCGGGCTGCATGCGGAGTTGAATGCCTTTATCGTTGCCAGCTTCCTTGGCTGCCGCCAAAAAGTTCTCTGGTAGCAGCTGTCCTTGCTTGTAGAAGTTGTCTCCGGTACCCTAGCATATCTTAGCAAAAACGAACTCAAACCTGACAATTCGAGATACGTACAACATCGATGAGGATCTCCAGAGGACCCTTCCACTGCTTTACAAGCTCAGAGGCATCATGCTCTTTCCACTTTTGTTGCTGATCCTCGCCAAAGTATCCTTTGAATGCCTTCTGACCCCATGGGCAGTTGATCGGATTGGCAATGGGCGCGAATGCGGAGACGGACTTGTACTTGCCGGGATTCTTGAGGAACTAGGAGCAGGGGTCAGTACCGGCAGTTGAAATACCGCGTCATGTCCGACTTACCAGTGTCAACGCGCCGTGACCTCCCATGCTGTGACCTGTAATGCTAACTCTGCTAGAATCCAGCTCTTGGAAAGACGAGAAGAGCGCATCGGGAAGCTCCTTGGTGATGTACGAGTACATGTTGTAGCCCTTTGACCATGGATCCTTGGTAGCATCTACGTAGAAGCCTGCGCCAGTGCCAAAGTCCCACGATTCATCCTCGCCTTCAATCTGGAGACCCCCTAACATGGTGGGTTAGCAAGGTACTTGGATTTTGCTGTAGTGTCTACACACTTGGTGAAGTGTCTGGATATACTACGGCAATGCCGTGTTGAGCTGCGCCGTGCTGGAAAAAGCCCTTTTCTGAGCAATTGTTGCCGGTACATGTGAGACCTGAGAGGTAGAAGAGTACAGGCACTTTTGCACCGGACTTGAGCGCTTGCGGCGGTAGGAACATGTTCAGCTCCATGTCTGTGTTTGTGCTTGCAGACTTGTGCTTAAGCTTGAGAAGCTTACCCCCAAACGAGGCAATGGTGGCGGTAGTTTCGAAAGACATGTTGGATCGTAACGTATGGTAGGGAAAACGCGGTGCAGAAGGTTGGAATACAGACGCAAATCGAGGGGCATTTAGAAGTTTTGTAAACTGCCACATGGAGTGACGTTGTGCCTGGAATTAGTGCGGGGGGAATGAATAGCTACGTTAGCTACCCCACCTTGCTCTAGTCTTTTGGCTCGTTATAGGAATCAGATCCGCGGGTCCGCATATATGCGGCGGAGAAGGCTTGGACTTAACGGGAATCGGATGAGATTCGGGATATAATTGCGCAACCACTCAGATAAGACTCCATTCGCCGATATGCCCGATAATTCACCAGCAAATCAAACTCCATGCCAAATGCAACACAACAGACTGCCCTTTTATGTCAAGAGTTCTTCACAAGTCCAGTCTTCGTAGAAACCATCAGGCAGATATCTCCGTACAACCAGCGGGATCTTCTTCTCTTGCAATTCCTTGGCAGCAATCTGCAGAGGATCCGTCATACCTTCCACGTCAATCAATACCGGAGCGTTTCCACTACAAATATGTTAGTTTTGCTGCGTCCAAGGCGTCCCAAATTCCTGCGCGTACCTGATCTGGAGCGCTCTTGTACCGAGCACACGCGCCTTCTCATATTTGGTCATGTACGGCGTGGTTGTGCGCTTGTCGTTGGGAACCTTCTTGTCCTTCTCGCTCGTGACAGTGTTTTTGGCCGCCTCTCTGGCTGCTGCTGCCGCGCTGGCGTCGCCGGATACCACTACGTTGTCGTCGTTGGGGTCGGCGTTGTCTGGGTCCTCGCCGCCGCCGCCCATGTGGTCGTCCTCGTCGTCCATGAGATCGGGCTCAGCTTCTTCATCGAACTCGATGAGAGGCTCATCGCTGTTTATGTCAGCCGTGTTCACTTGGGCTATTCAGGTCTTGACACTCTGCGACTGAGAAAATAGATGCACGTACATGTCTCCAGCACCGCCATCGTAGTCGTCACCGTTGTCAGACATGATCGCGGTAAAATCTGTGGGAAAAAAGGTGGGTTTTCAAACGGGTGTGCTTTTGCGCGTGGACGGTGTTGCGGTGAGGTGTACCTGATGCGCCAGGCAAAGAAAGAAAGCTCTGGACTTTGTCCCAGCCGGCGCAGGCACTAGCGCGTGAAATCTTGGCGCGTCCAAAATACAGTGGATCCTGAATTTCAATTAACACCCTCCGCATCTACAAGCAGTTTTTCGCCAAATCCTCGACACAACCATGACCTTGAAGCGCAAGGTCACGGATGAGGACAATTCCCCCACTACAAAAAAGTCTCGAATAGGTATGGCCACCACAACATCGAAGTGTCTAAAATCTAACATGTTCGGAGGTGCTGCGGCGGACATCCCGGAGCTGGACTACGCTTCTGACGATTCAGCTGACTGGAAGGTCAACTACACCGATAATGGGAAACCGAGGGCAGAGAGCGAAGCCCGCCGGCAGTGGAACTATGTCTGCCCTACGTGCTCCCAACGATTCAACCGACCATGCCGTCTCGAAACACACATGCGAAGCCATAATAAGGAACGGCCATTTGCTTGTACCGAATTAGGATGCGATAAGACGTTCCCTCGCAAGGATCATCTGCAGCGCCATCTGAAAAATGCTCACAGCGACCCGGAAACCGAACGAACATTTGTATGCGATTGGAAGGATTGCGGGAAAAGCTTCACATCCAATGGCAGGCTACAAAGGCACAGGGGTGTTCATGAGTCCAAATTCTACTGCACTGAATATCCACCGTGCAGTGAATCATTCAGAAAGGCAAAGGTACTCGAAGCACATGTCAAGAGTCAGCACCTTGGAGTCAAACCATATGTCTGTGCCCATGTAGACGAGAAAACAGGTCAGAAGTGTGCAAGCGGGTTCCAGACTGAGGGTGCATTGCAACGGCACGTGCATAAAGCACACAACGAGATGCAAGAGCAAGGCCATTTCTGCATGTTATGTGTGGGCACAGATGGCGAAGGCAAGGTGCAGACAGAGTCTGCAGACTCAATACAACTACCATCATTTGCAACCAAAGAAGAGTTGGAGGCACATACAACCGAGTGTCATCCACCGGTATGCACGGAATGCGGCCAGAAATTCAAGAACGCATCTACACTTAAAGCACATTTCGACACTGTCCATGGCGACCCACAAGAACAGCCACAGTACCCATGCCCGAGGCTGGGGTGTGAGAGTGTATTCAACCGAAAGCACAACCTCACAGTGCACATTCAAAGTGTTCACGACAGGCAATTCAAATATGTGTGTACAGCAGAAGCCGTGCAAAACTCCAAACACGCAGACCTCAAGTCCTGGAACGGAGAAGATGCATGTGGAGCTTTGTTCAAAGCAAAGTCCTCGCTAGACCAGCACATCCGAAAACAACATCTTGGCCTTGGCAACCGCAAGGAGCGGCGACAAGCCGCCAAATCCAAGAAGAAACCAGCAGCATCGATGCTCACCATGCTCACCGGCGTGGGCTACGAAAAGGACCGGGAGGTGCCTTGTCTCGTCAAAAACTGCGCTTACCGCTTCTACCTTGATCGCGATCTCCGCCGCCACCTGCGCGCCGAGCACAACATGCAGGACGAAGAAATCGAAGAAAGGATTCTAGAGCGCGATGCCACGACTGGCGGCCAGTTCTGGATCGGTGGCATTGATGCATCGACGAATTTCTGGGTCGATTCGGCGACGCCCAGTATGCCAGAGACGCCCGGCCCGTATTTCACTAATAGTACTACTACGCCTGTGCTGCCTTGTCTTGAGCCTGGTGCCAAGGGCTTGCATGATTTGGGGAGTGGAGGAGGCGTTTTCAACCAGCAGTTTGATCACCTTTCGCTTGCTAATGAAGAGGCGGAGATGGATCTGGGGATGGGGCTGGGCGGTTTGCCGCCAGCTGTTGATGTTCAGGGAGAGCTTCAGTGGGATATGCTTGCACCGGTGGAGCAGTATAATAGCGACGTTACTCGCGGTTAGGTACCTGTGGGATTCTGACAGTTGCTTTTCAGTCTCACCCGAACTTGTTGTCATGATGGAAGCATGAAGATATGTTTAATGACACGTAGAGATACCCCTGTAGACGGTTTTAAATGAAGTTGTATGAATATGCGTTGACTTTACTCTTTCACTTTACTAAAAAGTTTCCAGCTCCACTACTCTCAATTACACATTGTCATCTGTACAGATATATGTGATTCCATATATACATATATTCCTCTGCACCTTGTTCTGCCACCTGGAAATCTACAACAGTAATCTCCTGAAACAAAAAAAGAGATGAAGCAGAGCCATCGACTACATAAACGTTCATTCGTCCAGTCTAATCGCTCGCGAGACACCGAAGGAAAATAAACAGACGAACGGGGGGTATATATAGTAACTAGCGACGGCCGTTCACAGCGAGAGAGAGAGAGAGAGAGAGAGAGATAGCGCGAGAAAACGGAGAAGAAAGAGAAAGCAGGGAAAAAAAGAAGAAATTCTTCTTCAGACATCGTAACTCACCAGGTGCCACGCAAACTAACCACCAATGCAAGCCATGAGCGATGTAGTAAAAAGAGGCGAAGATGGAAAAAAAGACAAAGAAAAAGATCGCCTAATGGCTATACTCCATACATGAATTTCCAAATTCAACGCCACGCTTACGAAAGAAAAATTGACTCGGAGATGTTGGAAAAAAAAAAGGGGGTATAACATAAAAAGTTAAGGAAAAAAAAAGAAAGAAAGCGTAAGAGCCCCCCCCAGTACGTCAATTTTCCCATATGAAAAAAAGCAAAGTAGAAGATGCAGATCGAACGATGGGAGAAAAAAAAACTGCCACGGGACGCAAAAAGCAGAGACGCAAAAAAGCAAAGAAAAAGGTGAACAAAGCTTTGCTTACGCAGCCACTTTCGCAAATTGCGCCAAAGCACTTGCATCAGGAATCGCACTGACGTCATCTTCTCCCTCGTCTCCTTCTCTGGCCCTCTGCGGCCACTCTTCGTGTTCCAGCTTATGCACAATTGTCATCTTGTGCTGATTCTGCCAGTCGAGCCTCCACATTTCAAAGCGGAGCTCCCATCGCTGCTGGAGACGTCTTCTGCGGGCTTCAATGAGGGATTCGAGGTGTTCGACGTCTTTTTTGTATTCTGCTTCCTTGGCGGATTCTTCTTTCTTCAGGTCAAGGTCTAGTTGGCGGAGCTCGGCTTCTTGAGTTTCGAGGCGGCGCTTGAAGTCAACTTCTTGGCGCGCGCGGAGGACGTTGATGGCGCTCGTGTGTTTTCGGGGGAGGCCTTGTTGGAGCATTTTTTGGTGATGGAGCTTTTTGAAGTCATCTTCGGTTACGGTGTGGGTTTGCTCTTGTGAGGTGTTGGTTCCGAGGCAGTAGGCCTCGATATACTTTAGTGCTGTCGCTACATTTTGTGTTTCCTGGGCTTGGGTTTCCAGGAGGTCGTGTTCAGCTAGCACCTGCCGTTCCTCTAATCGATCAACATCATCTAAGTGCTGCAAGGTGTGAGTGAAGTGACATGTTGGGAAGCGGTCAGTTCTATACATACCTGCTTCATGCGTTCCTTCTTACGGGCCTCATAATTTACTTGTAGTCGCTCCAGTTCGCATCGATAGTGTGCTGCGAGGGCTTTTCTTTGGATGCTCTCAAATGTCGACACTCTATCCCATTGTTCCTTCTGCTGAACCCTGAAGGTCTTGAATGCTTCTAACGCTAGGGCAGAGTCAGTGCTGGTTGGTTCTTGGTCCACATGTCGAGCTGTCATGCTGGATTCTGAAGAAGATGTCTTGGAAATCTGAGGACCCTCATGTGGAGGTGACGGTGCGTCTAGTGATACAGCTGATGCTTTGGTATCGACTCCCGCAAGAAGACCCAGCTCGCTTTTTGTCAGCACATTTTCGGATATTGAACGTCGCAATCGGCTTCCACAATGACCACACACTGACTCTGCAGACATGGACTTGGCCGGGGCTTTGCGATGCAATGCCGAAGGGCAACTATGAGCATGCGTTGTGACATTACGTGAATGGAGGCCAGTGGTGGCAAAGTATCTCGCTTCTTTCCGAAGCAAAGAGAATAGGGCCGAGCCTCGCTTTTTGCGGGTATGCTCGTGCTGGGAAGAAGATGCTTTGGAAGTCACAGAAGATGAAGTGGCCGTGCCGGAGGACAGTGATGGTCGAGCGGCAGGCTCTGCACGTTCAATGGGTTGCTGGCAATTGTCTGCCAGCTGAGAAGCCTGGACAAGGACTGGAGGCATCCTCTTGGCCGAGACATGGTCTGTAGAGTAGACATGGTCCCGAGACGTACGGGAAGGGGCCGAGGTGAAGCCCGTAGACTGGGTCTCCTGGGAGTGCATCGAGCGCGAACTTGTCTGGTCGCTGTCGAGCGTCATGGTGGACATGGCGCGCGAGACTGTTGCTGGCGAAGGCATGAAGCGATAGGGATCCTGGATGCCAGCGTCGCGGGCAAGCACGACGAGCTCGGCATCCAGGTCGTCCTCTGTCTGGTGGGCAGGCAGGCCCAGGGCCTCTGCGAGATAGACTTGGTCGTCGAAGATGGGAGCGGTGGTGAGGCGAGGGGGTTGGTCCCATATGTGGTCAGCCATTGCGCCGGAGCGCGCATGCATGCAGCGAGCGGGTGGTTGAGGGTGATGTCAGGAAGAAAGCGGTGGTGGCACCCAAGACATGCAGCCGGCGGCGGCCTTGTCTTTCTTTGGCCAGGGCAGGCGCGGTCGAGTTGGTCGGCCAGCACACACGACGCGGGAGAGGCGCAGTCAATTGGCAGACTGGCAGACTGGCGGGTCAGGCGTCAAAGCCGTCAAGTCGGTGTGCGGATGGATGCTGGAGAGCTGGGCGCTAGTATCCAGGAAAAGTTGACCCATGGTCATGTGCCTGCTGATGCGACTGTCGCCATGGGGTTGGCCAGCAGGGGACGGCCGAGTTGCCCGCCTGGCTGGCCCGCGCCCGTCTCGCCCGTGTCGAGGCCGCCATTTTGCTTTTGGGGGGTGGAAATGCCTATCTGCTCACGTACCGACGTATCCAGTCCACATCCATCCACCCAGCCCGCGCAATATTGCCCGTCCATGCTCTGCCAGCCCCAAGCCGGCAAGCCAGTGGGCCGCCGTGAAACCCTATCGACGAATCCATCTACCCGTCCGGCCGACGTGGCGCCGTCTCTTGTCGTCATCTTGCCCGCACTCTCGGTCGTCGTCTTGCTATAGGTGTAGTGCTGCCATAAGGCTATGCCCACCTTACTCCATCTAGCACTCCCGGCCCATGGGCCGTGGCGTGGCGTCTGTCAACTGTCGCCTCAACCACCACTTGCTATCAGCGCCGCGTCCATCACTTGCCCTCTTGGAACCACCGCCTCGTCGCGACCCGGCTCTTCTCCCACCCCTCAACCACCTGGCTTGCCGCGGATGCCAATGGCGGCTTACCCTCTACAGTCGATGCCATCTCTGTTCGCGACATTGGTGATACAGCGAGCAGCCTAGCTTCGGTACCATGCCGTCGCCTGTAGCCAACCACACGCCCCTGGCCAGCGCCAACTCTGCCTCTTTCCCTACTACTCTCTTCGCACTTGTTCGTCTCGACATGTACACGCTCTACGTGTACTCGCAAGTACCATGCTCAGGTGACACGAATCTAAGTATTCAGGCCGTCGCCATGGTGCTACTGCCGACTTAAGCGACTAGACATACCGGCCCGCACGCCATACCTACATATGCAGCTAAATCCCTGTGCACAGACGGCTACCCACAGAGTGAGCTATACCAATGTACACAAGTACATACACCTACAGAGTATCCCAGGCACGTTTTCGGCTAAAGGAAAAAAATAATCATCCGACACCATTGTACATGTGCCTGTTGGCCAGGAGCACCGTACAGTCTATTACAAATTTCTACGTGGACCACTCATGCAGCGTGAACCCGTCAATGCACACATGGATAAAAAAAATGAAATCGATACAAGAAGGTAGGAAAGCACACATGACAAAAGCTCAACGCCTCATGCAACAAGGGCTCCACTAAGAGCCATGCCAGGCCAGGCCAACCCAGCACCATCTCTTGTCGTCTTTCCCAACGCCAGTCATGCACAAACATGGAAAATCCTACACACGACATTAACCAGAAACGAGTACCCAAAGAAGGAAAACTATGCCATGTTAGCTTGCTGTTACACAGGTCAAATGCCAAAGCCACCACTTACAGATCATTAGCACTCCAAACATCTTCGCCACAAGCCATCGGTTGCCCTGCACCCGGCTCCAGTACTTCATTAGCTCTCGCTGCGCACCCTCGACATTGTCCACAACATCCTCGGTGTTGGCATCAATTCGCTGAATCTGCTCTCCCTGCTCAGACACCATCTGTGCGAGCTGGCTGAAGATGCCACCGAGTTCCTGGATCGTCGACTCGATCGACTCAATGGCTCGCCCTCGCTCCTGAATGTACATGTTCTGTGGTTGCGCCTCTTCCATGAGGAGTAGCTGCGCGTCTGATTGCGCTCCTCCTCGCGTCAGGGCAGACGATCCAGAAGGCTCGAGCGAAAGCAAGTCTTGTTGCACTGCGTTGGTGTTTCTGCCAAACCCTCCTGGTGATCGCCCTCGCTGGGGTGTCTGATAAAGTGGCGAATCTGTCCTGCCAGGCTCGAGGCTGCTGTGAGACTGCTGCGCAGCCGAAGAAAGAAACTGTTCAGTCCGTGAACGCGATGCCTGCATGTTCTTGGTCCGCACTTCGAGCACATCCTTGAAGTTTGTGCCCACATTCTGCAACTTGTCCTTCAATAACATGACAACATTGCTGTTGTGCTCGCCCTCTTGGTCTAGGCCGGGCTTCGCCTTGGGGTGTAATTTTGCGTTCATCTGCTGTAGCGCCTGCACCTGCCCGGAAAGCGCAGACATGTCTTGCTTGATAACAAACGTGAGTTCGTCAAACTCGACCGGGCGGTCGTCGAAGAGCGTCTTGCGCTTAGCTAGTTGCGATAGTCGCTCCAGTTTTTGCATTGTGCTCGCGACACCGCGCGCTACCTCTGCAGCATTGCGCGCAAACTCGGAGCGCTGACGTCGCGGACTGGCATTTGCCTGGGCCTTTTCTTGTGCCGTCAAAAGCGACTGCCTCTGCGCGCCCGTCTTGGACTGCGCCTGTCGCCGCTGGGCCTGTGCAAGAATGGAGCGAAATTCCTCGGTACGATCTTGAATGGACACGGCCATGATGCCTGCGAATTACAGCGTGTAAACAAGTCGGGGAGTCGAGGCGGAAAGGGGCAGCGCGCCGCGTATCGGCAGTGTGGCCAGGCGCTGCGACTTGGCGATGGTGCTCGAGCAACGGTTACCTGTATCGACTGTGGCTATGGGGTTGATCGTAGCACTCAATATGTGATGGTGAGCGGCACAGAGTCGGGCTCGCTTGTGGGAGAAAACGCGGCGGATATGGGGGAAATTGGGATGGAAAGTCGAGGGCGGTTGGGGGAACGTGTTAGTTCCAAGAGGGGCCCTTGTCCGGAGGGTTCCATTTATGGCTACCTGCGCCACACCACCCAGGGACGACTGCTGTGGCGCCCAGCCCTGCGCCCCGCCGCTGCATCACCCTGAAGTCGTGCAAGAGAATTGGCAGGTCGGGCAAGTAGATGTCTCAGTCCTCAACTTTCTTGTGTTTATCCTTGATCCCTATTGCAACTCCCTGCCATTAGCGTTTGGGCCGATTTGTCGTGTTTAGTGAGATTGAACCTTGGTCGTGCGCACCAGGTGACGTACGTATCATTCTCGGAAGCTCGGTCGGCGCCAGCCACAGTCCCCTCTCTCGCAACCTACCATTGCTGCAGCTACTCTCCCTGCGTCCCAGCCCTTACTCACCCAAACCTGCACTCGCGCGCTGGACAGACAACTCTCTTGTTGGACAGTCCGTCTTTGCACATAGTCGCCCAGTCCCCTCGCCCCATTATATGCGCTGTAGGACATAGCTGGCCTTGGGCTTAGCCCCGGTGGAGCCCTACGCTATATTGTGCTGTGCAGAACCCATTCACGCAACTTGACCGTCCACCACCATGGCTGGACCATTTCGCTTCCAGGAGGAAGCCAGGTCGCCGCTGTAGGTCTTGCTCCTCCGCGCAATCTCTCCAGCGAGACTGACTCGTAGTAGCGATCGCAGCGCCTCACCCTTCTCTACCGGCCAGCCTGTGTCCTTCAAGACCAATGTCAATCGCTCCAAAACGAAGAAATGGGTGCAGGCAAAGAAGAATGCCTACGACGGCGATGACTGGGGCGACTACGATGAGTACGATGAATACGGCGTGAACCAGGAACCCCAAAATGCCCAACCCGCGCAGCGATACTACGCCCAGCGTACAGAGCAGCCCTCGCGAAGCTTCACCGACCCCTCCCTTCAAGCACCACTACCAAAAGCCCGCAGGAATTCCTTTGAGCGTGGAGAGGAACAGCGCGCATTCTCATCGACCATTCCTCAGCCTCAGCCTGCTCATGCCCAGCCACATAGAGAACCCCAGGGGTTGCCAGATAGCAATCCCTTTGGCGTAGACTATGACATGGGAGGTAGGGGTGATTTCAGTCCCTCTGCAGTGCCTCCACCATTGCAGACACGTATGTCGCAGGTGCCTGCCGATTTCACTCCCCCCTCACAATCCCAGTTCCCTCCGCGCAAAAGCAGTATAGGTCAGGCAAGTTCGCCAATAGCTACTTCCCCACGACCGCGCACCGGCAGTGCATCTGATAAGCCACTTCCTTTTATTAGACCAGCAGACATATACAAGCGCCACCAAGAAGATCAGGAACGTCGGTCGCTGGAATCATCACGACCCAGCCTAGACTCTCTTTCATCCCCAGCACGGGATGATGCAGGGCTCGCTCACGAGGGTGGAAAATCCCTGCAGCCCATGGAAACAGTTGCCGAACGCAAGAGCGAGTATCTGCCAGACTTTGATCCCAAAGCCATCCAGTCCGACCCTAGCACCTCCCAGCAGGAACACCCCGCCAACTCACCGTCGGACGATCAGGGTCTACGCTCTGTTGTCGATCAGGCATTCACTCGTACAGATGACCAGCGCTCGGTTCCGCCAACACCAACGTCAAACGACACGAGCTCAGACCTTCTAAGAAGCAATACTGGAAGCACGTCTGGTATTAGTCCAATCATGAGCCGAGTTCCTAGCTCTGCTGCTTCAGCGTTAAAGATCCGCAATCAAGCAGAAGGAAATACACCCGTGATCAAGGAGGAGCCTGGTGAAGTCACAACACCCGTCACCCAGCCAACGCCAGCGAATAATGTTGACTCGATGCACCACGTTCCACAAAAGCCATCTCCGGGTCACTCCCGAAACATTTCAAGCTCGTCTACCCCTCGCAGTGGTCTTGCTACGCCGACACGCGGTGACAGCCCCGCTCGTTCTCCTGTGCTAGCAGCCAGCAGAGACGTGCCAAGACCAAAATCCGCCCTTTTTTTGACTGAAGACGACTCAAGTCCTGAAGGCATGGATGGCGGGCTAAAGGGGCCAGCTTCTGCATATGCTAATCGCGAAGCGGATCTCGCTACCTCAACTAACAGCCGCCCAAGCAGTGGGATTCTAGATCTAGGAGCCGCGCAGCGTCAGTCCCAGAACATGTTCTTGGAATCCCACAATGCACAATCCCCTATCGAGGATGTTTTACCACGCGACCGTTCAGAATCACCAAGCAAAGGCCGTGTGCAGGCACTGGCTGGCAAGTTTGGCGATGTAGCTTCTTCAAGACGCGGGTCAACACAATCGAATCTTTCAAGAAATAGCGTTCAGTCATGGGAGCGAAGCCGCGACAATTCGCGTGCAGCGTCTCCAACAAAAGCTAGTCCATCAAAGCCCAGCAGTCCGGTCAAAGAATTCCGTCCTCACCTACCTGGCCAATGGGAATCATACACGACCACAGTCGTGACCCCCTCAGAACATGGGGAGCAGGATCGGGGGTTAGGCAATTTGGAGAAGAGCCAAGTTTCCTCTGAAAGTCTTGACTTGACACCTACAACTGCTAAGCAATCAGTTGCTGAAGTTCCTTCAACAGAGGCAAACAACTCTGATCCAATGGCTGCTCTTCGAAACGCCGGAGCTGCAATGGCCGAATCTATCCGCACGACTATTGGGATCGATGAAAACTCATCGGAAACTCCGAAGGAGAAGAAGGCGTCTGTTGATCATGGCAACATCTATCTACCTAGGCCATTGCAGCTTGATCGCACGATAACATCTAACTCAAGCGCACCACCTACACCTCCTGCGAAGGACACCCCAAAATCCGAGTTTCCACCATCGCCTCCCTTGAAAGAAAACCCCGTGCCGTCTGCGGAGGATCCTTTGACTCGCCCAAGTTTTGATCAAAAACCCAGCACTGAGAGTTCTGCTGAAGACCAAGAAAGCGATCGTTTGCGAAAGGAAATTGTTGCCAGTTTGGGTCCTCTTAATATCCCAGACTCACCAGCGGATGAACCAAGTTTAGCTCCACTGCAACCACACAGCCCGGGTACAAATCGTGCCAGCTCGATCCTACCTGACGAGTACAAGAGCTACTGGGCTGAAGAGGACGGTGTTTCTCGTCGGTCTTCTCAAAACAGCGAGACTAAAGCCAAAGACCGACCGCAAGCAGCGACTGTCGCATTTCTCCCTCAATCTGAAGACCCTACAAAACCTGTCATCAAGAGGTTCAGTTGGGAAGCGAGCGATTCGTTGATGCAAACGCCAGTTGAATCGGAAAAGGAAACTCCTCCAGCAGAGCCTGCAGCAGTCTCAAATGGACCTGAAAAGCCTGCATCCGCTGGAGAGCGAGCTGCAGAACAAGAACATCAGCCATCACCTGAGACTCTCCCTGGCATTACTGTGCACACCGGTCCTGCTTCGGATGTTACCAAGCCTGATCCTGTCGGCGATGGCGAAAAGCCAGCTGCACCTTCTCCTCTTTTGGACCCTACACAGTCTATAGCCAGCCCCACTCGGGAGGCTACGCGTTCACCAGGTCTTCATGTTGTGAATACGGAAGAAAATCCTGAAGCTGTGGATCTTCCCCCGCGCTTTACTGCCGAACACGATCCGCCTCCTGTGGTGTCTAAAGAACCCAAATTGACTGAAAAAGCCACAACGCCGGAGCCTGCAGAACCACAGCCGGCCATTGAAGCACGCCATGAAGAAGTTCAGACTCCTGCTGCTGCACCTGTAGCGTCCGCAGCGCAAGAATCTTCAACCAAGTCGCCAGCCACAGACAAGCCCTTAGGCGCTCGAGAGATCGCAACCCTCAACTCGGCAACGGAACGAATCGATACGTACAACAAGACCCGGGAATATTGGGCTAGTGTAGACCATGGGTTGAATGATTGGCTGACAGCAACTTTGGATGCAAATCCCGAGTTGGCAACGCAGACATTTCCGGTGCAACGAGCACCTACGGGCTCTATCCGTCACAGACACACTGGCTCGCTTTTGTTCGGGAAATTGGGTGGGTCAAGTAACCACGAGTCAACTGCTGAACAGCACAACAATGGCAGTGCGGCTGCTCCTACCAATACCAGCTCTCCAACTGCCCATGCACCTTCTGGGTCTAGTTTTGGTGGACGCATTGTGAACCAGCAAGTGCAGCTCAAGGGCAAAGATCTGCTGCATACTGCCAATGTACTGGGTGGGAAGGGTATGACCAGTGCCAAGGGCTTTTTTGCCAAAGGCAAAAGTCGTTTCGGGCGCGAAAAGGCAGAGAAGTGATTTTGCTTCTGCATGGCATATGCCGCGACTACTACCACGGGTTGTCTTGTTCGACTAAGCAGCTGTGAGGGGTATCTGGATCTGTTCGCCCAGGACCTCAATATGGCGTTTTGACCTTTTACTTGGGTGCTTTGATATATGTATATTTCTTTCACTCTATGACTGGTAGCCTCTTCCATATCTCCATATCTATCTCAATGTAATCTTCAAGTCCGGACCCGGTGCCTCCAGTTGTCATGAAGGAAACACAACTTTTCGCCGAAGTTCGACTCAATTTTCAGCCTTTTATCCCAACCGCGAAGTCCGACATTTCTACACCGACAGATATCAGTTTGGGCTTCCTAGCAGACGTGCAACCAAGGATATCGATCATAGTGATGATGATCAACCGCCGACATAGAACCATGATCCACTCGCAGCGCGTACACCTGGGACATGATTTGAGCTCTATTTCATCTCGCTGGGTATGCCAGTCACGATTGACAAAGTCGCTTGTGAATAGATCGCATCTCGACATTACTTGTGCCGAATACGAGATGAAAGGCCGATGGTGCCAGACCTATTTGGACTGCCCTAGTTGGGTAAACCGGCAGAACTGATAACACAGACCAACGACGTCGGCAGACCTTCACGATGATAGTGCATGTTTTGCAAGCAGCGAGCGTCTAGAAGGGACAGGTGCAGCATGTAAATTACCGGTAGCGGTGTACTATCTCAGAGGCAATGAGCTTGCGGGAGCCGAGCGGCGGTCTGGAGCCAAGGATGATGACGACCATTGGAGGGAAGGGCACGACGCACCCTCAGATCATTTCATGGTTCGCCAAGTCGAGCTGGGGACTAACGAAAGCAAGTAATGCACCAATACCAACAAATTTTCATCAACAGTGCGCGCCTAGAAATCAACTAGGCCTGACTCAAAAGCCGTTGGGGAGATTACCGCTATGTACAGCTTCAGGCCCGCAGCTCGGGGCAACACGAATACATGGGGAAGCTCCGCTAAGCCCCAACCTGGCGGGGGTCTAAGCTGACACCTCGCAGACGCGCTGTACTCCCGCGTCGCCGCTTCACGCCCTGCAAGAGACTACATACTAATCCACCCGCTTCGCCATGGCACCGCTGTCGTCCTGCTCCTCCGTCGCCGTCCGATGCCACTGAGCTGGGCGCGATGAATAATGGGAGTCATCTAGCCACGTCTCTCGCCCAGGCTCCGCGCATGGTTCCAAGTCAACCCGAGACGGCAAAGGCCGCAACATGGCGTGACGACGATTCACAAAGCGCAACACCGGATGGACTTGCGCAGCTTAAAAACAACATTCCCAATTCAAAACACCAAGCCTACGAGTTTCCCGCGCCCAACTCTGCCATGGCCCTTCCGGCAAAGACTGGTGGTTCTCTCCTATCCCAGATATCTGCCATGGTCTCCGAAGAAGGCAGTGCCCCTTATTCCCGAAATATTCCTGGAAAATCGAATTCATCCGCTGTCCGCAGAATGCAGCCTCAGCTGTCTGCAAAGCAGTCAAGAGCTGCCGCCCAGATTCCGAGGCAGAGCCCCCCATCACATGACTCCCGAACCCCGGATGGTCAAGGCAATGATTTGGATCTTTACGCAGATTACAACGGGATTGTGAAAGACCTGCGCGACGAAATGGGCCAGCCGTTGCGAGTTTCAGAGGCAAGGGTACCCAGTCCAGAACCGCAACATTCACCAACCAAGCCTGAGGCTGCCAATGTTCAGGCAACACGTGAATCCCAAGATGGTGAGCAGCAAAGATACAGCACAGATCGACCAATGAGCTTCATTGCTGGACCTGCAGACAAAGATGGAAAGCCCCAAGATCAAATCAATCAGTCTGCATCTCCTGACGATATAAGAATACGTCGGGCATTCAGGCAACGTAGAAACAATGCTGAGCAGCACCACTTATCGCAAGGAGGCGTGTTATACTCTGAACTTCCAGCAGAACCTCTGGACTCATCGTGGAATTCTGTCAAATCGCCCCCCACCCCTGGCGCACCTCCGCCAAAAAATGTCTTGCAGACTGCTCAACCACTGGATCCTACACGACCAACGAGGCACGCATACATTGACCCGCCTCATGTCTCCGGCGAGGCAAATTCTCAAGAACGAGTACCAGGAACACCAGGTGCGCATGACCAGCAACCTCAGACCACTCACATCGCGAACCTCGCTTTGCATCAACCCCGGGCCAAAAGAGTTTCGCCAGTTACTCAGATTGTACCAGATTTCCCACCAGAACAAAGTAGAACCCCTACTTCCCAATCACAAGACCTGGGTCAGGAGCAACAAAAAATAAATCACACTTCTCGTCAGGATATAGAAAAGCGAAAATCCACCAACTCAGCGCAGTCCTCTGTCTACGAAGCATCGAAGCCACATGAGAAGCTTTCTTCAAAAGCCAAAATTTCGTCATTGTTTAAGAAATTTGGTGGAAATAGTCAGGCTTCTTCACAACTACGGCAAGATATGGAAAACAACTCAGTTGGTTCAAATTTGAATGCAGAATGGTCAGGGCGCCTAAAACCAGCTTCGTCAGTCAAGCGTCCAAGCGTGGATCAACAGTCACAGGCTAGCCAGAAATCATCACTCTTTGATCTAAAGAAGCAGAGGAATCCCGCAGCCTTCTACAGCATCCCTTATCAGCAATCGACAGCCAATGTATCTAACCACTCTAGCCAGTCGAATCAACCAGACATTACAAGTGGCGCCAAGTCGAAGCGCAATTCGGGGCTAGGTGCGATTTTTGGTAAGGATGGCCCAAGCGTTGATGGCATGGTCACAAAGTTCAAGCTTTCGTCGTCGAAAGAGGAGAAGAAAGCGCAAAAGGCCAAAGGGGGCTCTGCAAAACCTCAGGTCCGTCGTGAATGGGATCCTGTAAAGGAAGTTTACAAACCAATCCAGGTTAAACCCTCCCAACAGACAGAGTCACCCAGACCGTCGGTCTCCGATACCCGTCCAGAGGAGCCCTCTGCGTTCCTCCACACGAAGCAATTGGCAGAAGAGCATCAGGCTCAGCAAAGTGGTCAGCACTCGCCGCAGGCTAACATACGTCCAGAACGCACCAGCTCCCTAATGCACAATCACGGCCCGTTGTTCGAGCGCTTGCGTCAAGAACTTCCCAATCCTCCGCACGGAGAGTATTACTGGCCTAATGGTGAGCAAACTGAGGACAATCGAGGGGCCTATGTCGCAACTGTGGCTGCACGGCAACAGTACGAGCAACTGCAAATGCAGCGTCAGAGGGAGCAGGCTGTGTATGGGCAAGGCGATTTTAGAGATCCTTACCATGAGCAGCAGCAACAGCAACTACAATTATCCCGCCCATTACCAGGCCAAGAAGTGCATTCGCCCTCGCCGGGGCAAAACGGCGCTCCAAGGTCGGGCCAGAACTGCATTTCACAGAATGCTGCCTCAACAGAACCCAGCTACGAAGCAACCCCAATACCTGCTGCGTACGGTCATGTGTCTGGAGCTTACGTAGCTCACTCAAACCGACAGGATCAACCTATGTATTCACCTCAACATGTTCAGGCAGTACATGCGAATCATCCTGAGACGCAGTTTGCAGATCCATGGATGCTACCCATTTCTCCACAAATATCCGCGCAATCCCGAATGTATCAGAGTAGCCGTTCACACTCAGATGACAGCAACATGCATGTGGTATCACCAATATCACGTTCAGCTTCCTTGTACAGCTATCCACCTCATCATAGCGCTCAGCGGACTCACAAGCCAAGGATGGGCAGTATCTCAGAGGTTTCTCAGCAAGACCGTCCCTGGCATCTCAATCTTCCAGCCGGAGCTACTGAACAAGAGATTGTCCGGGCACGTCAGGGACAGTACATGCAGGCTCTTTTCAACGCTCAGCAGCAGCAACAAGCTGAACGAGCTGCCGGAACACCTTCGCCACATACCCCCCAGCATACAACACCAACAAGCACAGTTCCACATGAACATGCGCAAGGAGGTGGATTCCGTGAGCTTTTACCTTCAGGCTCTCCACAGCCCTATGGAGCTCCGCATTCTGAGTCGCCTCATTACGAACAACCTTTGCCAACTCGTCGCCATCCAGCCTACGAGCAGCAAGTTCCGGCACGTTCTGAGCCGTCTCCACAACCCGCAGCATACCCCCTACCTGAGTCGCGCAATTCGACAAGACCCACTGGCACAGTGAATCCACCCCCCAACTTACCTTACTCACCAACAAGACCTGCTTTCCCTGATGGGCAGATGCAGATGTATCAGAATGATGGACAGCAATACCATCAAAATCCCTCTCCAAAAGACGACGTATATCAGGCGCCAGTGAACAGATCATCAGAATATGACGCGCAAATACCCGACGAGGCACCACCATCATACGATGGAATTGGTGTCCCCAACGAAGGCATGGATAAGAGTCGCCCCGATGCGGTTCGACCACCCAACATCAATACAAACGTAGACAGAGAACACCGCAGCCAAAGACCAGAGTCCCGACCACGACAGCCATCCATCGGAATGCTGCAACATCCCCAGCCTGCTTCAATGGCTGCATCTCCCCAACGTACATTATCAGATATGGGCGCCGAATCGTTGCGTCGGCAGCTCCTCCAACAAGAAAACATCCAGCACATGGAGCGTGTGCAGCGCGAACGAGAGCGCCGCGAGGCCATTGCGCGCGAAAGACAGCAGCGCGAAGCAGCAAGGGCACGAGCCAGAGAGCTCGAACGCAGCGTCTCAAACGGCGGTCAAGTTGGTAGCTTACGCAGTATCGGCGGTAGCTTTAGTAGTGGAAGCAGCAACTGGGGGCGAACCGGCAGCCAGCATAGACAGGTATTCGAATTACCTGCTCTTGACGACGATGAGCCCGTCATGAAGGCTACTAGTTATCCTGGCCAAGAATGGACGCCGCCAATGTGGGATGGAGATTAAAAAGTCTGTTCGCTTCTTGCCTCTTTCTTGTCATCTTCCTGGCCTTATGTACTCCACATTGCACACTTTTCGTTTTTCTTTTCTGTCTGTCTGACAAATACGTGACTGTACGCGACGTTATGCCTTTACTATTTCTCACGTAACCTCACACATGTCGCATGGTTTTTTTCCTTTCCGAGTTGTGCAAATCTGTCTATCCTGATACCACGTGTTTTTTTCCTCTCCTTGGGTTCTCGTATATGGTCTTTGCTCTTGTTCTCTGTTTATCATTCCTAGATTCTTATCTCTGTGTCGCTGTCATAGCAATGTTTCATCCGCATTTCGGTCTTCTGGTTTAACTCCAACACCCGGAGTTCAGGGTGTATATCTTGGGTTAGTCGTATTAATGCACTTGTATTGGCGGGTGCAGCCTTGAACTCTCAATATATCAGGTTTACGTCCGGGGCTAACTATACACAAGTACCATACTGACATCTCGCGAACGATGCTGAAAAGAGTGACATGTTTGTTTTGAATTATTGCTTCTCTGGTTTTCCCTTGCTACGACCACTAACTTTTTTTTAGCTTAGATTGTGTGTGCATTTAAAGCAGCAATAATTCCAATTTCATAACAAGAATGGGACTACAATATTTGTGAACAATAATATACTAACATGGTGAGATGCATAGGAGGCACTCAGTCAAACCATAATGATACTAGAGAAGTCGATACTGACAAAAGAGACCTTGGAATTAGGTATTAGGGTATCACTGATGCCGATTCAGATTCATGCCAGCGTCCAGATCACAGCTGACATCGATCGCCCCACGGTTTAAAATATCGCGTACAATCTCGCATATGCGAGAAACTTCTTCATCCAAAGCCCCATCTATAAAATCATAAATTGACAAATCCCGTCTCCTGAGTAACATACCAGCAATCCAACCAACGTGTCACAACCCACCATTCAATCGCTCCAACCCGTCCCCAACCAATCCCGCACCAACCACCTGCTCGCGTCATACGTAACATCTCCCGGTATCACGACAACTGTCAACTCTAGCGAGCCGTCAAAGAAGAAGTGACAGCTCCGATACAAATAGCCCCCGCCTACATCCGCGCTGCACGTATCCAGCTTCCCCCGCACGGCTTCATTGGCGGAAAGTACACTTCCAGAGGCATAGGTACAAAAGAAGATGAATGTCCGTTTAGCATGCCAATGGCAATACATCATACTGTTCACATCTTCGTCTAATATTTCCAACTTTCTCCTAGCCCACACAAGCTCCGCTTTCTGCCCTACCCGTTATACGCCCTCAACGTCTCCAGACACGTAGTACAATCCAACGGAGCAAGGAATAAGGAGAGAAAAAAAAGCATCGACCCGGGCCTTCCCTTCCCTCCCGACTCTTCCCTTTCTGCCAGCCTGACTAACCAGCGGGAAGACTGTGAAAAAAAAGTCATCGTTGTACCGACCATGTCACTACCGGACATAACCGCGACACACACACACACACACACACACACACACACACACACACACACACACACACACACACATACTGACGACATGGCCGCTACAACATTTCCAACTAATATATCTAACTCTTCCCAATTGCCATACCCCGATCCCCTCCCTTCCCTTCTCCATACCAAGCACCTCCCTCCCTCTACCACCAACCATGTCCTCAAACTGCACCCCCCCTCCCAGCAGCCCCCCCTCCACCTCGACATGCTGCTCGTCTTCGGCAGAAAAACGCACAGAGCGAGCAAGTCTCGACGGCGCACTTACAGTTGTCGGGTCCACACTCATCTTGTACGCCTCTTTCGGTCTCATGAGCAGCTTCGGCTTCTTCCAAGACTACTACTCGCGCGAGTTTCTAGAGTCAAGTGCAAGCTCGAGCATTGCGTTTGTGGGGACGCTGCAGATGGGGCTGACGAATGCGGTGGGGGCCCTGTCGGGCGCGTTGTGTGATCGGTTTGGTGTAAAGGTACGTCACTTCATCCCTCTCTGCATACGTTCTTTCTTTTGGATAAAAGGGGAGAGAGAGAGAGAGAGAGAAGCTAATCGAGGAATTGAACAGTATTTACTTGTGGGCTCGGGGCTTGGGACGACAGTAGCTTTACTCATGCTATCGTTTGTGCAACCGGGCCAGTTCTGGCTCGTGTTTATGACACACGGTTTCCTCATGGGCTTGTCGATGGCTTTTGGCGTGCAGCCCGCGCTTACGGTTGTGGGGCAGCATTTTAAGGAGCGGAGGGGGTTGGCGTTGGGGGTTGTGTCGATGGGGTCGGCGTTGGGGGGCATCGGGTTTCCGGTTATGCTGGGCCAGGTGATGCCGAGATGGGAGTTTGGCGGTGCGCTGCGTTTGGCGGCTGCGAAGGTTGTGTGGGTGACAAAAAAAGACTGGCCCTGCTGGCTTGAAAGGAAGAAAGAACTGACTGAGGGAATAGGGTTTGTTACTCGATTGCATTGTGCTTGTGCACTAGCAAGCCGATTCGAAGCTCGACCGACAAGGATCGCACTTTTCGTGTGGATTTTGGTGGGTTCTTGGATCCGCGATATGCAGTTCTCTGCGCGGGGACGTGGTTTGCTATCCTCGGTCTCTGGCTTCCAGCATACTATGTCAGTGAGTAGTTCTAATCCCTAAAAGGCGTGTCTTGATGTTTACTGAAACATACATCTCAGAAACGTACGCTGATAACATACACCCCGGGAACAATGTCAGCAAATATTTCCTTTGCATGATGAACGGCTCCAGCATGCTTGGTGCAACATTGTAAGCCCAAACGTACTTACCCCGTACCAGACCATCCTTTCTAAAGTCCGTAACAGGGGCGGTCTCCTAGGCGACCGCGTAGGCCGATTCAATCTTCTCTGGCCCGTCACATTCCTCTCAGGCTGCCTCTGTCTCTTCCTCTGGCTCCTAAGCACCAACATCTCTACGCTGATCTTCTTTGTCTGCGCCTACGGTTTCTTTTCCAGCAGTGTAAATACACTCCCAACCTCGATCATCGGACAGATTACGCCAGACGACAAGTTCGGTGCGAGAACCGGGGCTTTCTACAGCGTCATCACCATCTCGAGTTTGATCGGGACGCCGATTGGCGGAGCACTCATTGTCGACGAGCATGTTAGGGAGGGGTATCGGTGGTTGATCTTGTTTTCGGTAAATATATTCGCAAATCTGAAGTTACAGGCATGATTGATGCAAGTAGCTAATATACAAATTTAGGGAACTGCACTCATGGTCGGATCCATGTTCATGCTTGGTAGCCGTATGCTGCATGGCAAGGACTCGCGCACAAAACGACAACTGGAGCTTTCCTAGTGCTCAACACTCAAAACCTCAGATCGTGTCTGGGTACAAGACCTTTCTGCACCTGAGCTTGCACCTACACTTTGGTGGCCAAAAGGCATCCTGTATCATGGGCCACTCAGGCTCTTCTACCATCTCACCGTGTATACCAGGAATGATACTTTTCTCAAGCTCGATACCGCCTCCGTCCTCTCTGTACAACTCCTCAAGTTCTTTCGCCGTGAATTTCATCTTCTTCCTCGATTCACTCCTCAACTCATAGAATCCCTCCTTCTCCATCTCATCCATGAACCCATACATGTTGACATTTTCGTACGTAGCCAATACATCCGCAGCTCTTTCGTATATAAGCCGATGCAGTATCCTCGGGCAATTGAACGGTTCCCCATAAAACAGCTGAGGACCCTGCTGATGTGGTCCATCAACTAGGTATCCCCTCGCATCCGGCAACTGGATCCTAATCTCATTCAAGCAAGGCATTTGGCCAAAGATTCCGTAATCGAGCCGGAAACTCTGGAAGTACTGTGCAAACGAACCAGTCGTGACCTTGAAGAAGTGCATCGAGTCGAGGAAAGACAGCTGCAAGTTGATCTTGCGGATCGCGTGACGCAAAGTCGCATATCGGGATAAGTGAGGGTAGATGCGAGGATAGTGGTTATACGTCTCTGCAAGTGTCCAGGTCTCGTCAGTCGTCGGAAGATGCCCCGGCTCCAGCATCTGGAAGCATTTTCCCAAGCGCCGCATGCAGTCTTTGAAAGCGCGGTGGCCCTTGACGTCTATACACAGTCCTTTGCCATACTGCAGGTCACTGCTGCCGACGAAACAGATGCGCAAGCATATCGCGCGGACTTGGCGGGACACACCGAGCATGGCTGACCATTTGCCAAACTGGCTCGTAACTTCCGGTGCACCTCTGATTGCTCTTCTGTACAGAGCGCGAGGCTGAGATTGGTGCATGCAGAAGTATATGATGCGCTCTTTAAGCTCGGTAGGTAGACCAGTCCAGTTAAAGGTTCCGCCATTCGTCTTCCACCACTGGAACATGGCATCGTTGCCGACCGGAATTTGGCTGAAAGTAGGAAACATCTTCTCCAAGAATTCCTCCAAGGGTATGTATCGGCCTATCTTCTTCGTATATACCTCAATTTCATCGGTAAAGCGACGGCCGCTTTTCCGTTTCCTGCGCTGTAGACGACAGGTAGCGAATATAGGTCTGTTACTGAAGTTGTAGAAGCCAACCCACAAAGCAAAGCTGCCGTGAAACTTCCCCAATCGTAAAATGTGCTGCGATTGGGATTGGGCGACTTCAATTGGGATGCTGAAACGGGTAGCTGATGCTGCTCTGTACTTGAGCACGGCTGTACGAACATCCTGGAGGAATGAGTGGCTTTCGCCTGGGCTAACTTGCCAGTCGTTGGACATGAAGTTGAAGTTAATGTTGCATCTCATATCGGAGTGGTGCGCAAGTGACCTCGATTGTCGGGGATAGTTTGATCTGTTCATGATGAGATCCCTGTGAACTCGGATTTCTTGGGTGTGGGTTGAACATTGGTTGAGGCCTGTGATTGTAACTAACATTGCAGAGGCAAGCCCAAAGTAAGAGAAGATGTCTTAACGACAGTGGTCTCGGGAATGAGCGTGAAGCAAGAACTATGAGACTTAAACAAGTTTAGTGTCACAGAAATCTCCGAACGGTGAATCTGAACAAACTGACACAGGTGAGGCAACGAACGGAGTGAGCACTACACAGCAAGCCTCTTACCTACTCACAGACCTGCCTAAAACGTTTCTGCCTTATGCTCTCACTACTTTTGTCTCATCTAGTACTTCACTGTACAAGATGCATAATTCCGACTCTAAGGCCCAATTAATATCGTTGCACATACAACCAAAGTCGACGCACAGACCATTGGCTCGTCAATCATTTTCATTTCATCATCCTGTCTTCTATCAGTAACTGCTAGACATCATTAATAGCGATATTCGCCATGGAGCTCCCACGTCCATATAATTGCCAGTCCACGGACATCTTCAAGTCCCTCGTCCAATCTGGGTATCAATGCCTCATCTTTTCCAAGCCCATATCCCGCTTTCCTCGTGTCCGTCCTTTGTCCTTGAATTTTCTTAACGAAAGCATGCATCACCTCACCACACATCATCAGCTTCAACCTCCCACTTTTCACCATCAGTCCTCACACACTCCCTATTCTTATCCCGACTACAACTCTTGCGCATATCCAGTGCATCCTCGCCATCATTGTAGTACGCCTTGACCACACGATAAACACTATAACCCATCTTGCGATACAGTTCTTTTGCAATTTCATTCGACGCGCGCACAAACAAATCGACAAACCATGCATCAGCGGCGTCCGAGGAGCGCTCGAGCGCAGACGAGAGGGCAGTTGCGTGGCCAAGGCGTCGGGCGCTTGGGGCGACAGTCAGGGCGGTGATGTGGCCATGCCATGGTAGATAATTGGGGTATTCGACGCCCGTGGTCGAGGGCTTGTAGGGACTTATGGGGGGTGCAAATGGCGACGATTCGAGTTTGCCTAGGACTATTTGATTTCTTTGTCAATATCTACCCGTATGCATGTTGGAATTCGTAAAACGTACTATACCCTTCAATTTGGCCATCCGTGCCTTCGATAATCTGACACAACTCGGGCCATCTGGTCAGGTACTCGAGGTAAAAACCAATGTTATATGTTTCGGTCAGGTGATCGAGATTCGTTGAAGATATGCGCAGCAAGTCGTCTGGCCGCATTGGCCGTATAGTTGACATTGTGCTGTACTAGATGAATGTGGTGAGTAGGTGGGGAAGTGAGAGATACGACGGATTGTTTGGAGGGACAAACGGCACTCCCGCGGGGAAGCCTCGCTTAAGTAGACTGCATACATGCACGCATCCATCCCTTGCATGCTTCGCGCAGCACCTCGAAGCATATAAAACAAAACACTGGTGAACGTAGACATGCAAGGAAATAATTCGTCAACTGAACGCTCAAATTATTCTAGAAAGGAAAAAAGGGTATCCAGCAGATTAATAACAACACTCTCGTAAATAGCTTCCAAAACATTCAATACCTCCTATGCGCGCCCAATGCAAATTCAAGTATCCCCCCGTTTCCTATGCGTATTCCAAATTCAATTTTATCAATTCCATCTCTTTTTGCTGTTGTTTCTAGCGTGCGCTAGAAAATGCGATCTGTGTTGCTATGATTTCCTTTGAAAAATGATAAAATCAGCCCCATTAGATGCGGAACGAGTCAACACTAGCCGCGCCATTAGCGTAGTCTTTGACAGATGATGCTCCTGAGCGCATTGCACGCTGCTCATAACTCAGTGGGCTTTGCGCTCTGTGAGGGCTTGCTGGTCCACGTAGGTTATCCACAGCAGAAACACGAGCTACACCGTTGGCACGACCATTTCCAAAAGGTGAACCTACACGGGAGGGGTAGATGTTTTCTTCGGAATAGTCGCTGAGTCGTGTATTGGCGCGTGGTTGCGTAGTAGCAGCAAGGGAATTGTTACGAATGTCCGAGGGGATTGGCGGTGCCTGACGGAAACGACGATTTGAATACGCCTGGTCCTTCTCGTCGACAAGCACTACCATCCACACACCTACAGATCCATTCTGGCCGAGGAGTGGAGTGCAGTGGATCCAGCGAGGTCGGCCCTCATCCGTTGCATCTTCCAGATCCTCGACTGGGTGCGGTAACCAGCGGATCTTCGCAGTGACGCCGCGCGAGCCATCTGCGAGCGCGCCACCGAGGGAAGCACGAACACGGTTACTGCCACCAATCCGGTCAAGGAAACGAGACTGAAGTATTCCGGGGACGCGAAGTGAAGGAGATGTAAAGAGAATGCGTAGAGACGGCGCAGGGCGAACGATAAGGTACTGATTCGTCTGTTAGACTTCCCAAAATCACTTGCAAGAGACCATGTTAAACTTACATGTTTGTACGGACCACTAAGGCGGCCATCAGGTGAAGGGACTGACTTCTCTGGCCCATCAAGATCAAAATTCGATCGATCTTGGATGAGCACTCTAGGCTTGTGCTGCATAGTGGCGTCATCCTTTTCCTCCAAATGCTCCCTGTGCATGTTGCCGCCAAATCTGCGTGTCGTGTCCAGCTCGGTGTTGTTGAACATCTCACACAATGCCTGGAACTCGTCTTTAGGCTCGTCCTTTTCGATGACGCCTTCTTCCTGGTCAACCATGCGGCGGAACGCATCGAGTTCGGTGCCTTCTTTCACAAGACCAGTCACGTCGATTTGCGCGCCGATAAAATAACGTACGGTTCCGCGTGAATCACACAAAGGCGCTGTCATCAAAAGGTTCATAAACGGAGACCCGTCACGACGACTGATTACTTTTAGTCAAAAGCCAGTCAGATCCAAACGGCAAGCGCTACTTACTAGTTCAAAAAGACTTCACTGTGATCTTTGCCTTCACGAACGGCTGCTCCGAAACGGGCCACGCTGTTACGGTTGGTTTTGGGGCCTTGCAGGAACCGACAGTTGCGGCCAATAGCGTAGTTTACGCCATATTGGGTTGTGCGATGGAATTCTAATCTTCAGTTAGTAGCGCCCATGTTTACATGCCAGATACACGGACCTTCAGACGCAAATATGATTGGGTTGTCAGCCCTCGAAGGGTCTGTCAGGCAAAAAACCTCTGCTAACCCTTCACTCGCTTCACGCAGCATTGGTGGAAGGTTGCCAGTAACTCTCTTCGCGATACTCGAGCTTGCGACTTGAGCGAAGACATGCGTGATGAATGCTGGTAAATCGTCACGAACTAGAATATCAAAGGCCTGATTGGCCTTTTCCTCGAGACTTGCGTTGACAGTGGTTCGCGCCCCAGTCTCGGTAAAACCCAAGCCATTGATGGGTTCTAGCGCTTCAGCGACAGCATTTGCATAATTGATAGCTCGTAGCGCTTTCAGTGCATCCAGGTAGTACACCAATGTAGGGACTGATTTGGGTCGATAGGCGCTAAGGAATGACGTAAATCGAAGCAAGGATGAAGTGTCGGCGAAGATGGCCTCCAAATGCTCTTTCGAGAACAGCTGGTCGGATCTGGTCTCGAGTGAGAAGATGGGTCGTCCACTTTCCACTGGTGCGGAAACCAGATCAAAGGAATGCGGGTCATCTTCCATCAAGGGAGAAAGTCTGTCGCCTTCATCCAGCGTCCCACCCTTTTGCTGCAACGGTCCAAGCTGCTGCGTCGTAAAAGAAGGTGCTGCAGACTCACACGAGATTACCGAATCGACTGAACTTCGCATCTTTGGTGGCTCAGAATCCATTGCTTGGGGTGTTGGAAAGTATCCAGACAATCGATTAGTGCCAGGCGTTTGAGGATTGCCCGGTGTTTGAGGGTTTCCGGGTGTTTGGGGATTCCTAGGTGTTTGAGGGTTCTTTGGCGTCTGTGAACGCTTTGGAGTAGCTGCTGGCGTACGTGAATAGCTATGAGCACGCGACCGGTTCCTTTCTGGAGTCGAAGGCCAGATGGGTGAAGTTGGTTCTTGACTCAATCGTCTTTGCAGCTCAACGCGATGTTGTTGGGCTTGGGGAGTGCTCGAACTATTCAATCATAAGCAAGAAGGAAAAGGAAAAATGGGATACAGGGAGGGAGCGTACCTGGTTCGAAAGGGAATATGAATTTCGCGTCTTGCAAACTCTACTTGTGGTGCCGGAGCAAAGTCATCATCGTCCGAGTGCCAACTTCCTCGATGCCCGTGATCGACCAAGCTAATAACGGGTGAAAGAGGGGCACTCGTTCTGTTAGGCTCAGCGCCATCTTGCATGGTTGCAAAGTCTAGGACCAGCGGTTCATTAAAGGCACCGCCACCATCGTCGGCCTTGGTCAGCGCGTCCGCGTCGGGTGCCATGACGCTATCGACATAAGCTGGGGCCAGCTCGCTAGGACTCCCTTTTCGGGCAGAAGTGGGTGTTGAGGCTGAGGTCCTGGAAGCGTCAGAGGATCTCTTTTGGGAGAACATTCCGTGCGCAGATCGGATCTTGTTCTTGAACACGGGCATCGCGATGGCGAAGGGGTTGCAGCGGCCCAGTAGCTTTGAAAATGGAAAAGTGCCAACTTTTGAGACCTGCAGATCGAGAGCTGGGCGTGCAGTGCAGAAAGAGGTGCACACCCATGACGAGAGGAGGGTCTATGTAATGTAAACATACCAGGTAGACTGACACGTCGGGTGGGCCCTTGGACTTGAGACAACGGGGCAACTAGTCTCGTGCTGGCAGGGACTGGACCCGCCGACGTACCCTTCGAATGCAGCAAAGATTGGTCAAGATTGGTAGACTATCGTTCAAAGTGATGGATGCCGCGTGGCCAGGTAGCGTGGGCTAATGCAAGGCACCCTCCTCGCGGTGCAGTCCCAGCAAATGGACCTTTTGCTGGGGAAAGTCAAAGAATTCATTGTCATCGA